TGATGCCTTGTGAAGGCTGACCTAGAACAGAGACTGGACAGAGCTAAAGAATAAAGCAGGGATTTATTAAAAGGCCTCAGTGGATCCACCTTGGGCAGCACAAGAGCCCAGCCAGGGCTGCACCCTACATGAACCAAAATGGTCACAAAATGCACAACTGCTCACAGGGTCTCTCACTTTTATCAGTTCTGCTCCATTTGCACGTTGGAGTTCATTGTCCAATTCCAGCTCCAGCCCAGGCAGTCCCATCCTGCTTGTTTTCCTCTCTTCATTCCACATTGTGCTCTTGGGCCTGAGATTTGGATCATTTGTCCTTGGTGCCCAGCTGGAGAAGGAATTGTTTTGTCTCCCTGCTCTATGCAGAGAGCTCAGAATCCCCTGATATGAAGCCCAGACCCACACACTAAAGCAGCACAGAACCTGAAACATAGAAAAGCTCAAACCTGAGGCATCACCTCCAGGAAGCAGCGATGCCAAGGGCGCTGTTCCTCAGGTGACTTTAGGAGCAGCACTCAGGAGCTGCAGGCACCACGGGGCTGTTGTGTGTCCTGGAGAGCAGCTGGGAGCCCAGCACGGCTGCAGGGTAGTGTGGCTGGTGGGAAAGCCTGGAAAACCTGCTGCTGCTGCTGCCAAGTGCCCTCACTGCACTGGCACAGCCCCCGAGCCCAAATCCCAGTCCCCTGCAGTCCCTGCAGTGTTTAACTCGGATTCTGTAGAAAATGAGACCCGGCCTGGGGCTCACAGCTCTTCCCACCAGAGATAATCTTTGACCTGGTGGAACAAGTCCCAGGCTGGAGCAGCTGGAGGAGCACAAACCCCTGCAGGGCTGTCTGTAGTGGCTGCCAGGGCTGCTGTGGGGCTGAGCAGCCCCTTGGGAGGGTCAGGGGGCACCTGGGGCCAAAAAGGAGCCAAGCTGTGAGATGTGGCACCACGATAACCCCAATAACCCTGGTGTGGTTATAGGGTGGGGTCAATTCCCCGTTTTACACAAGAATAAAAGAACCTTGAGGCTTTCATTCCTTAAAATAACACAGCCCAGAAATGCTGTTGGGGTGGTGCAGCTGTGGGGTCCTGCTCCCTCTGTTTTCTTACAGTTCCCAGTGCTCCCACTGGGATGCTGCTCTCACTTCCCAGTGCTCCCATGTCTGAAAGATGTCAGTGGAAGGCCTGGCAGGGAGTGCACTAAAAGTATTTCCTCCCAGCAGGGCAAGCTGGAAGCAGAAATCTGTGTTTGTGTTTATTTCTACCTCAGGGGAAAAAAAAAAAAAAAGCGGGGGGGGAAAGACACCTGAGCTCATAATTTGCAAAAGTTGGATGAGAAACCTGGAAGCCACCGGGCCCTGCATCTTTAAAAGCAGTTAAATTCCTCTTCCCTGCACTAGGAGGCACCTTGAACCTTCCTCTTGGCCCCGAGCATCGCCCATCTGCTTCCTATTACCTTCCCCTGCGCTGCTGGAGCCGGCCCAGCAGCCGGGCTTGCGGGGAGCTCTGTCTGAGCAGCTCTCATCCCATCTGCCTCCTCCTCCTTCTCCTCTCTCCATCCCAGCTGGAATTTCACCGCCCTTTCCCAGCGCTTCCTTCCCGGCTGGCAGCGCTGGTGGCGTTGTCCCCCGGTGTGACCGGGCTCCAAAGCCACCCTTGGCACCGGGAGCATCAGCCCGAGCCGAGCCTGCCAAGGACAACGAATTCCTTGGGAAGGAGCAAAATGCGGCCCAAGCGAGGGAGGCACGAGAGTGGAGAGGTCACTCCGTGTCCCCGAGCTGTCCCCGAGCTGTCCCCGAGTCCCACCGGGGCTCCGCGATCCTTTGCAAGCTGCAAAGTGAGGTTATGGAAAACTTGGTAGGGATGGGGGTACCACGGCTCCTCGGGCTTTCTCCTCCTGCTCCTTGGAGCTGGATCTGCCCATGGGGAGAGGAGCAGGATCCAGCTCCGAGGAGCACTTGGAGAAAGGTGCTCATCCCACGGGTGGCTCCAGCTGTGAGGAGAACACCTTCCTCCAGGTGCTCCAGGTACTCCTCAGAGCTGGGTCTACCCATGGGGAGAAGAGCAGGATTCACCCGTGAGGAGAGCACCTTCCTTCAAGTGCTCCTTGGGGCTGGATCCACCCATGGGATGAAAACCTTTCTCCAGGTGCTCCTCGGAGCTGAATGCACCCATGGGGAGAGGAGCAGGATCCAGCTGTGAAGAGAGCACGTTCCTCCAGGTGCTCCTCAGAGCTCCCATGGGGAGAGGAGCAAGATTCCCCTGTGAGGAGACAACCTTCCTCCAGGTGCTCCAGGTACTCCTCGGAGCTGGATCTACCTGTGGGATGAGGAGTAGAATCCACCTGTGAGGCGAGCACCTTCCTTCAGGTGGTCCTGCTCCTTGGAGCCTGATCCAGCCATGGGGAGAGGAAAAAGGATTTGCCTGTGAGGAAAGCACCTTCCTCCAGGTGCTCCAGGTATTCCTCAGAGCTGGATCCACCTGTGAGAAGAGCACCTTCCTTCTGCTCCTCAGAGCTGGGTCTACCCATGGGGAGAGAAACAGGATTCACCTGTGAGGAAAGAACCTTGCTCCAGGTGCTCCTCAGAGCAGGATCCACCTGTGAGGTGAGCAGATTCCTTCAGGTGCTCCTGGGAGCTTGATACACCCATGGGGAGAGGAGTAGGATTCACCTGTGAGGAGAGCACATTCCTTCAGGTACTCCTTGGAGCTGGATCCACCCATGGGATGAGCACCTTCCTCCAGGTGCTCCTCGGAGCAGGATCCACCTGTGAGGAGAGCACATTCCTCCAGGTGCTCCTGCTCCTTGGAGCCTGATCCAGCCATGAGGAGAGGAAAAAGGATTCACCTGTGAGGAGAGAACCTTCCTCCAGGTGCTCCAGGTACTCCTTGGAGCTGGATCCACCCATGGGATGAGCATCTTTCTCCAGGTGCACCTCGGAGCTGGATCTACCCATGGAGAGAGGAGCAGGATCCACCTGTGAGGAGAGCACCTTCCTCCAGGTGCTCCTCAGAGCTGGGTCCACCTGTGGGGAATGAACCTTCCTCCAGGTTCTCCTGCTGCTCCTCGGCTCTGGGAGTGCAGCCCTGCCGGGAAGGGGCCGTGTTTTCCCTGCTGCCTGCAGGGAGGGATTGCAGCCGGGCCCTTCCCCCAGCCCGGCCCGCAGGAATTCTGCAGCAGCTGGAATTTCTGCCTTCTGCTGCTCCCAGCTCGTCTCCTTCCCCCAAGGTCAAGGCTGAGGGCTCCTGGCGCCGGGGCTCCTTCCCGGCCCTGTTCCGGGGGATGCTGAGCAGCCGGGAAGGGCAGGGGGGACACGGGGCTCATGGAGAGGTGGGGGGAGGATGGGAAGCCTGGAGAAAAAGGGTTTGACAGCTGGAATACAGGGGAAATCTGTCCTGTGAAGCCCAGGAGAAAATACACTTTAGCTGGGCTCCGTGGGCTTTGGAGCTGTGACAGGATTGTAAAGCTGGAATGGCGACTTTTGGGAGATGCTGAAAAATGCTGATTTAGGTGAGGGCTCTGCTTTCAACTTCTCCCTCTTCCAGCCCAATTCACGCAGCCCCCACGTCCCTTGCCTGGCCCTGGCTCTGTGGCACCACCAGTGATGCTGTCACCATATCTCAGCATCCTCTTTTGGGTGGAACAGGGCAGAATTCCTGCCCCAACCCTCTTCCTCCCTCTCCCTGATCCCCGTTACCTGGGAAAAGGAGCAGCCCAAGGTGGGACTGCCCCTCTCTCAGGCAGTTTGTTCTCAGGGCCACTCACAGGATGCACAATTTTGGAGGCCACCATCCTGTTGTGTCTGGGCTTTGCAGAGGAAAACTGGCAAGTGGCCCCTGATGGGACTGGGGAGTCCAGGCCGAGGCCTCACTGAGGATCTTTGGCCATTCTTAACTGCAAATAAGCAGTGAAAAAATCTTAATCTTAAGTGAAAAAATCTTAATTTTATGTGAAAAATCTTAATCTTTAAATTATGCAACTCCAAATTGTGTTTAAAGCTGCGCATTTCATCTCTCACTGTTTCTGCCTAGTAGGGGGAAAAAGCATTAATTTAGGTTAATTTAAGATGAAGGGGGGAGATTTAGATGAGATTTTAGGAAGAAATCCTTCCCTGTGAGGTTGCCCAGAGCAGCTGTGGCTGCCTTTGGATCCCTGGCAGTGTCCAGGGCCAGGTTGGACAGGGCTTGGAGCACCCTGGGATAGTGGAAGGTGTCTCTGCCCCTGGAATTAGATGAACTTCAAGGTCCTTCCCAACCCAAACCATTCTGTGACTTCCATGATAAATTTGGGGCAGGAATCCTCTCCTGGATTTCCCCTTGTACCTCCCCTACACCACCTCTGGGCTGTGCTGGGTGTCATTCCTGCAGCACAAACACCATTCATGGCACAGTAAAGATGGAAAAACAGGAGCAGAAATTCACTTTCAGGGATTCAAATTCCCATAAGGACACGAAGGGAGCACAGCAGATAACAGGAGGACGCGGCTCCCCCACCCTGGGCTGTTTAAACCAGCCCAGAGCACAGCAAGGCAGGGGTTTTGTCAACTTCTTCTCCTTGATCTCGTTGGTTCTACAAAGACAGAGAGAAGGTGGAAGAATGTTTGTCTTTTCTGATAAGGAGGCTGTAACTTTTTAAGGCCCCCTTTTGCTGACATCTCTGTGTGAAGAGTTTCTTGATTATCTCATCTTCCTGCTTGAGCTTGTAACAAATCCTATATCGCAGAGTTTCTATTTTAACATTATGTTGTAACCTATAATTACATTTAACACACTAGGTAAGAGAATTAATACAGCATCACTTTCTAACATTACACATATAATATTCATTGTAATGTTTGCGAAAAGCCAATCATAAAATATGCATTTTTCACACATGCTCAAACCCTTCCCATCCTTTTCTCCTCTTTCCCTCTCCTTCCATCCCACTCCTGCCTTCTCCAGGACCTTTTCCCTCATTCCCGTGCCTGTCTCGAGTCCTTCTCCCCCACCCCTGGGCTGATCCCCGCTCTGTCCCGCAGGGGCGATGCCGGCGCTGGGGCCGAGCCCGCGCTGAGCCCGCGGTGCTGGCCTGGCACTGCCACCCCTGCCAGCCTCGGGAGAGCACGGAGCGGCCCAGGATGCCTGCGGAGGGACCCGGGACTCCTCTCTGGACATAAGGGGGTGGCCGAGGGAGAGACATGTGGGGACAGCGCCCTGCCAGCCGGCACAGATCTCCCTGCTCCGACACGGACACGAGCGGCGCTGACCATGGCCACAGCTTGGAGGTTCCTCACCTGGACCGTCACCCTCGGCCTGGCCGGGGGCACCTTCCCTGGCTTCCCCTTCCAGTCACAAGGTAGGGATGGGATGGGACGGGATGGGATGGTGTCGCCCCAATTAAGATTTTCTAAAGCCTTCTAAGTTTACATTCTATTAGAAAATTTTCTCACACAACTTTCTGTAAACAACCTATTATTTTACATTCCTTCATAGGGGTGGAAAAACTTAATATACTAGTAGTTTATCTAATGTCTTTGGAGAGGTGGCACATTCACTCGCCAATCCACTGTCACCTTTAAAAAAATATAAATGCTAAAGTGAAAAAATAAACATACTTCTTTTCACCTTACAAATAACAGTTAGCTCACGTCATGCTTTCACGTGTCCTATAACAACAGGATGGTGTAGCGGGTTTGGTTGTGTCCAGAGTGACATCCCTGAGGAGATGCAGTGTCCAGCCCCACAACACCACCAGCTTCCCACACATCACCTCACCCTTGGCTCTGGACACGTTTTTTTCCTCCTGGAAGTGCCTTTCAGGTCAGGATCAGAGCCTCCAGCCCCAAGTTCCAGGTGCTTTGTAGCCACAGCGAGCACAAACCACCCTCTGAGTCACTCTTTTCCAAGCCCACATGGATTGCAAAGAGGCAAAAAGGAAAACAAAACACTTCCGACAGCAAATTTTTCCAAGCCTGAAGTAATTTCTAAGTGCAAAAGTCACCCCTGTTTGCCAGCCCCATCATGGGGAGGTGCTGGGATGCAGGAAAAGCTGGAAGTTAAAACCTTAATAATTAATTCTGGCAAGGCAGAGGTGCCAGGAGTGTTTATGGTTGGGAAAGGTGGGAGCTCAGTCCCAATCCCAGAGGGTGGAAGGGCTGTCCCAGTCCTGGTGGCCAAAGAAACCACTCTGTCAGGCTCCCACACTGGAAAACAGAGGAAAAGGAAACTTTCCAGTGCTGCCCTGTGGTGAGAGTGCAGTTTGGAGCTGGCTGGGTTTCTGATGGCTGGGCAGGCTCTGAAGGTGGGGGCTGTGGAGCCAGGCAAAATTCAGCCACCCTGGAGCAGCCAGGCCCCTCCTGCTTGCTCAGGAAACAACACAACAAGTAGGATGCAGAAAGCACAGGAAGACTTTTCCAGAGGGAACAGAGGGAAAATCTCTTCCCATGAGGGCTCAGGAGGCTCAGACCCTCCAGGCATGAGGGGTTCAGGAGGAGGAGCTGTCCTGGTCCAGCACAAGGATATTTCCCATTTCAGCCCACGCCTCTGGGGCCGAGGGCTGTCAGACAGAGCCAGGCTGTCAGTTCTTTGCTTCTTTTCTGCCTCTGTCAGGGTTGGAATTGAAAGCACTCGAGATGGTAATTCATGTTCAGACTCAAATGTTGATTAGTTCTTATCCATGTCACAGTCTCACAAACCCTGGGTCCTACAGCACTTCACTCTAACAAACTGAAAAATGGAGCCCCATCTCTCTCTCTACAAGGCCTTATAAGGATAAACTGTTGAATTAAGAAATGACACCTAAATTATTTTTACTTTTTACCCAATAATCAGCCACCTGTAGCTCATAATGTGGACTTTTCTATACAATTACACAAAACCACCCAAACCCATGGAGAAGAAGAAGGTGAAAAAAAGAGAAGGTGAAGAAGAATTAAAATAACCCTCCAAAGCTCAGAGCTGGACTCTGCAAAATTTGGATTCCCTCTGCCCAGTGGGGATGAAAAGATTTGGGATACTCCAGGTCCAGAGCTGTAATTGGGGTGTCCTGAAGGGCCCTTTGGGCCAGGCTGTTGCTCTCCATCACTTGCAGAGGAAAAAGTTGCATTCCAAAAACTGCTGTGCCAAGGCTCTGTGGGCTGCAGTGTTTGGGGAATTTCCCAGGATCCTGCAGGCTGGGCAGAGCCTCAAGATCCCAATTTTTGGAATGCCGTGGCAGGACACTGACCCTCCAGCTGCCCTGCTCTCGGGCTGGCACTGCTGGGTGTCCAGCTCCCTTTGCAGGCTGCCACTCCCATGTGTGTCCTTCTGTTGGTATTACCAATATCGAGAATGGGATGAGCCTTGGCTTGTCTGGCCCCTGCAGCTGGACCAAATAGAGGCAACTGTGGTGTTTCAGCCCAGAGACATTTTTGGCGAGCTGGATGTTGCAGCTGGGCACGTGGAGCCAAGTCCAAGCATGCCAGAGCTCAGGTGGCAGCAGGATGGAGCTTCCCTCACAGAGGTTCTGCTCCTCAAGTCTCCTGCTGTTGGAGAAGCTTTTAAGGTGACAGTGAAGGAAAGGAGTCAGTTCTGATGGAGGGTTTAATCCAGAGTTTTTATTCTGGCCCACAGGCCTCTGAATCCAGCAACCCCTCCACCAGAACTCCCGGAGAGCGTGGTTCCCCTCTCCTTTACCTGGGGGAGGGGAGGGGGAAGGGATAGGAGCCACCAAGGTATGGAGAGGAGGTCTCAAGGGACAAAGGACACCTGGATGGCCCAGTGCCCCCCCAGGAGTGACAGACAGTGCTGGCGGGGGTCAGGGTGGGGAAAGGAGGAGGGGTGGACACACCTGGGAGGGAATCCTCAGGGGAGAAACCCCAGGTAAACCATGAAATCACACTGCAACATCCTTCCCTCCCCAGAGGAATTCCTCTCCAGCTTGGATCACTATGAGATCGCCTTCCCCATCCAAGTGGACCAGAACGGGGATTTCCTCACCTTCGACATGCGCCGGCAGCTGAGGCCGCGGCCGCGGCGCTCGCTGCCCTACGAGCCCTCGGAGCAGCAGGTCTTCTACAAAGTCTCTGCCCACCACACGCAGTTCCTGCTCAACCTCACCCTGCACTCCAACCTGCTGGCCGAGCACTTCACCGTGGAGTACTGGAAGCGGGACGGGGTGGACTGGCAGCACGACTTCCACGAGGACTGCCACTACGCCGGCCACCTGCAGGACCAGCACCTCAGCTCCAAGGTGGCCATCAGCAACTGCAACGGGCTGGTGAGTCTGTCTGGGCAGGCCAGGGCACTGCCAGCACCTCTGATCAGCACCTCTGACCCTCAGCAGGGGCATCCCTGCACTGGGAAAAGCTTCACCTTGGTGCCAAGCTTTATATTTAATATATTTTTTAAAATATATCTACTTTTAATATATTATTTTTAATATTATCATTACTATTATATATATTTTATATATAAAAAATATTATATTTTTATATATATAAAATATATAAATATTTTAATGTATTTAAAATAATATATTAAAAGTATATGTTTTATATCTATATATATATATAAATATAAAATATATATATAAATATATGAAATATACATAAAAATATAAAAATATAAAAATATACATATGCCTAAATATACATATATAAAATATATACATATATTATATATATTACATGTATTATACAATATATATTATATATGTGTGTGAATAGAATAGAATAGAATATATTATTACATATATATTTATATATTATAATATATATACAGGAAGGAGGGTGGGAGTTGTTGATTTTCCAAGTCCTGACAGCTCAAATTGAACATCCCAGTCCTATTTATCAGCAAGGAATGTTAGTGGTGGACATCAGTGTAAGAACAGCTGAGCTCTGCACTAGGTTGTTTGGAGGGAGCGAGATCTTGGAAGATCTTTTGGAACAGGCCAGACAAAAGCCTCTCAAAAACCCTTCAGGTATGATTCATTAGCTCTCCCAGCCCTGGGAATCGACTGAGGACTTCCATCCCTGTTTTTCTGTGATTTTCTGATATTTCTGGCTCACACAGCGCATTTCCTGAGCTGCCAGATGGAGGGATGGAGCAAACATACCCCATGAGTATGTTTGCTGAACATTATCTCTCTATATATATAAACATATATATATATATAAAAATATATAATATATATAAAAAATATAGAAATTATATGTATTTTATAGGTATAAAATATATTATATTTTATATAATATACTGTCCTAATAGATAATTTATATTAAAATAATATATTCACATATAAATTGATTTATATTATATTATCTATAATACTTTATATGTATAAAACATTATATATTTTATATGCATAATGTTTTATACATATCCCAAGGCTGAGGGCTCCCTTGGAGGGGTAGAAAAAGCCCCTCTAGGCCAGGTTCATATTTATTTCTGTTCCAGCCCCAGCTCCTTGCAGCGTTCTGGCAGTGTGGAAGAGCTTCCAAACGGGAACGAATTCCTGTTTGATTTATTGCTGGGTGACCCTGCCAGAACAGTGCTGTGGGTTATTAACAGAAATGAGAATCTGACTCATTATATCACAGAGTCTGAAGTTTCCAGCTCACAGCCAGCAACCCGAGCTGCACAAACTCCTGCTTCCCGAGCCCTTTGTTTGGATCTGGGAACTCTGCTCCAGTCCCAGGGAATTCCGTGGTGCTCCCACAGGGTGAGCTGGGTGCTGCTGGCTCCGGAGGAACCCGGCATCCCCCTTCCTTCCCACGGCTCAGGGCAGCAAGGCTGGGGCAAGCACTGGCCCAGCAGCGCTTGGAACGGGGAGAATTCCGTCCCCGTGCCGTGTTTAGCTCTGGAGAGGCACCAAGGGCTGTCTGGAGGAGAATGCAGCCAGGCACAGAGAGGGACAGAGGGTCATCCAACATGCTCTCCTCTGCCTGAACTCTGTCCTTCTGCCCTCCAGAGTTACGGACACGGCGAGGATGGGGGAGGAGGGCTTTGGGGTCACTGAGGACAGTGGGGCTGGGGATTTGGGCAAGAGGAGTCTGGAATGTTTGTAACTGGATTTGGGCAAGAGGAGTCTGGAATGTTTTTAACTGGGGCTGGACTTGCCATGGGAGATGTTTTTCAGTGCTCTGGGTATCCAGGAACCACTGATCCACTCATGCCATCCCTCATCCCCAGCAGGCTCCGCTCCAGGAGGGCATCACCCATCCTGGAAGGGGCAGAAGAGGGCCCCATGTGCAGGTTCCTGCTGAGGGGGCACTGCACTGCCCCACCTTTGCACAGCGGATGCTGCACGGGCACTTGGGCATTGTGGTGGTGACTGGGCACAAAGTGGGACCTGAGCTGGTTATGGGGTGAGCTGAGCACGAGGAGGAGGGGAAGGGATGACTGTGAATGCAGCAACGAGCTCCAGGCCATCCTCCTGCTCTCCAGCTCCCACATGCCTTGGGAATTCCCATGCCTGCAAGGTTTGGTGTTGAACCACTCTGCTTTTGAACATCCCCAGCGCAGCTCTCACCTTACAGCACACCAGCTCTGGATGCCAACACTTGGACACGCCTCCATTGATTCCTCCTCCCAACACCTGGACATGCTTCCATGGACTCTTCTTCCCAACAACTGGACATTCTGGACATGATTCCATTGACTCCTCTTCCCAACACCTGGACACTCTCCCAGTGCTTCCTCTTCCCAGCCTCAGGCACTGACAGCCTGGCCCAAGGGCAGGCAGGGAGCAGGGCTCGCCCCACCCATCTCCCACGCCCTGCTGGGCTTCAGGCTCAGCCTGGGCAGAGTCACCCAGTCCCCAGAGTCACAGAATCACAGAACATCCTGAGCTGGAAAGGACCCACAGGGTTCTCCAAGTCCATCCTGGTCCTGCACAGGACAGTGCCAATCTCACCACATGGCCTTTGCTGGAAGCAAAGGGTGACATGATCCATTTCCAAAAATATTCCACATTTTCAGCTTCCAGAAGGGCCAGGAAGCTGGAAGCCTCCAGGGAGCAGCCCAGGCATCTTTGCCCCAGCCTGGCCAGGAGCTGAAATCCTGGTGTTTTATCCCTTGGGCTGCAAGGGATCCCAAGGATCCATTGCGTCCCATCACCAAAAAAACCACAGCCAGGAGAAAACCATGAGCAGAGAAGGGCCATTATTTCCCTCTTGTGTCAGAGGAACAGCTGAGAGGCCAAGTCTTCATCAGAGACTCACAGAATGCTTTGGGTTGAGATGGACCTTAAAATTCATCTCACCCCATGCCATGGGCAGGGACACCTCCCACCGTCCCAGAGTGCTCCAAGCTCTGTCAACCTGGCCTTGGACACTTCCAGGGATCCAGGGGCAGCTTTCCTGAGGAGCCCTCTGAGCCCAGCATGAACAGGAGTGTCTGGAGGGACCCAAGCACCACATTCCTTGATGTGGACACCATGTTCCTTGGACAAACTCAGTGCCAGGAACTGGGATGGAGCTGGTGTTGGGCTCCCAGAAACTTTTGGTGTTGCTCAGACCTTTCAGGTAGAGGGAAAGTTGCTGTGAGGGTGGGGAGGAGGGACCCTGGAAGTACCTGGTGGGTTTGGTGATCACCCCACGGGGATCTGCTCCTCCTGGCTGTCACTGCCTCACAGGACAGATGAGGAGGCATCTCCTCTCACAGATGGGGAGGATGGATCCAGATGGACAGGATGGATCCAGATGTGCAGGATGGATCCAGATGGGCAAGATTGACCCAGATGGGCAGGATGGATCCAGATGGGCAGGATGGACTCAGACGGGGAAGATGATCCAGATGGGCAGGATTGACCCAGATGGGGAGGATGGGCCCAGATGGGGAGGATGAGTCCAGATGAGGAGGACGGACCCAGATGGGGTGGAAAGACACAGATGGGCAGGATGGACCCAGGTGGGCAGGATGGACCCAGATGGGCAGGATGGATCCAGATGGGCAGGATGGACCCAGATGGGCAGGATGGACCCAGATGAGGAGGATGGACCCAGATGGACAGGATGGACCAAGATGAGGAGGATGGACCCAGATGGGCAGGATGGACCCAGCTGGGCAGGATGGACCCAGCTGGCCCTGCTGTCACACAGCCTGGCCCCAGGCCGTGGCTGTGCCTTTGCCAAGTGCAGTATGAGCTGACAGTGCAAACCCTCCTGTTCTGCAGCTGACCTGTGTGAATCACACACAGGATATGCAGTCCAGCTCCCCCACAAACCACAGAACTCCCTCAGGACCTCTCACCACCCCCTTTACCAGCCCTGTGTCACATCCATGCCTGGCCCTCAGAGCTCAGTCCTTGGGGTCAGCGATGGGACAATTTTCAGACTCCTGTGACAGCCAAGCCTCGCTGCTGGAAGGTGCCAGGCAGGCGTGGAGCCTCTGCAGAGGCTGCAGTGAGAACATTCCTTTTGCAGCAGGATGGATGTGGGGCAGGGCTCGGGGTGACCTCCTTCCCCCATCCCACAAAGCCTTTCCAGCTGGCTCTGCCGGAGCCTGGCCAGGGAACCTCACAGTACCTCGCTTGTGTTTGAGAAGGTGGAGCCCGGCCAAGAGCAGCAGAGCCCGGGGCAGGAGGAAATCCCCCGGCACTGGGGGACTGCTCACACACTGCCCCATTGAGCTCTGGCCGGGAGGGGACAGGGACAGCCCGGCAGGAAGCGACAGTCCCGAGAGGTTCTTCCCACCCACACCCGGCACAGGAGCTGTTCCAGGGGGTACTTCCATGGAGGGGCCTCGGGGTGTTTCACAGGGGCAGAATTCCCTGCTCCCCACCTTTGCTCCCATCCCTGGGGCACAGAGGGAGCTGGAAAAGCGCTGTCACATCCAAGGGACACTGCTGATGGCAGGGCAGGGCTGTGCCTGCACCCAGAGCTGTGTTGGACTTTGGGGATGACGTTTGAGCCGTGTCAGGCACATTTCTGTGCCTCAGTTGCTTGCTGGTGGAGTTCAGTTGATGGGACATCACGTTCCTTGGAGAAACTCGGTGCCAGGAATTGGGATGGAGCTGGTCTCCATGGGCAGGGACACCTCCCACTGTCCCAGGGTGCTCCAAGCTCTGTCAACCCGGCCTTAGACACTTCCAGGGATCCAGGGGCAGCTTTCCTGAGGAGCCCCCTGAGCCCAGCATGGGCAGGAGTGCCTGGAGGGACCCAGGCACCACATTCCTTGGAGAAACTCAGTGCCAGGAATCGGGATGGAGCTGGTGTTGGGCTCCCAGAAACTTTTGGTGCTGCTCAGACCTTTCAGGTAGAGGGAAAATTGCTGTGAGGGTGGGGAGGAGGGACCCTGCAAGCACCTGGTGGGTTTGGTGATCACCCCACGGGGATCTGCTCCTCCTGGCTGTCACTGCCTCACAGGACAGCAAAGCCTGGGCTCACAGCTGAGACTGAGTCAGTCAAAGAATAAAAAACAAAACAAATCAGGGAGCAAACCTGAGATGATCTCACTGAGGTGTACAAGGGGCTGGGCTACCCCATTCAGGCTCCAGAGAGGGGTTTTGGCTCTGCTGGTGGCCTCTGCTTAATCAGCCTTCAGATTTTAAACATTTGGGGTGTTTCCCAAAGCCTCTGGGTATTTACCACTCTCTGCAACTCCGAGCTCTCAGCTGCTGGGGATGGTCCTGAGCTGCTTGGGAAGGTTTTTTGGGGAGGCCAAGTTCAGAGCTGAGCGCTGCTGTGTTTGAACGGGTTTTTGGGATCCCACAAGGATCCCACTGAGACCGAGTGGGTGGAAGAGGAAACAACTCATTCATAACTCAGCAAGGCAAGGCTGTGATTTCCAGAGGACTTTAGTGAACACAGATGTCCCAAGGCATCCACCACCATCTGGCTGGGTTTTCTCCGCTCTGTGGCTTCCTGTAGTTCAGTGTTTGTGCAGGATTCCTCCACAGCTTTTGTCAGTCCCCAGAAATTCGGGTTAATCAGCAAAAACCTCACCGTGAGAAGCCACCAGGTTCTCTGTGCACCTCTGTTATTGTCCCCCCTCTTGTCATGGTTGAGACAGAGACAGTACAAAGCAGCACACTCCGTTTTCAGAAGGCTTCAAATCATTTTTATTACAGCTTGCATGCTTTTTATACATTCTTACAAAGCTCATAAGTTTACACTTTACTCATTGGTGATGAGACAAACAAAGTGTTTATTGGAATAGGCAGTTGCAGGTTTCTCTTATTTATCCTTCTTTCTTTCTTGGTTTCTGTGCCAATGACCTTGGTAGAAAATTCTGTCCGGGGTAGACATGGATCCTCTTCTCAAAGTCCTCTCTGTCTCACAGAAGTGGCTGTAAAACCTCTTCCACACCCTCTGTTCCCTCCTGCAGCACGGGGTGATCGTGGCGGATGAGGAGGAATATTTCATCGAGCCCCTGAGCCCTGGAGCCAACATCAGCACGGGGGGAGAGGGCAAGGGCAGCCCCCACGTGGTGTACAAACGCTCGTCCCTGCAGTACCCTCACATGGATGCAGCCTGTGGAGTGATGGGTAGGTGCTCCCACCACCTCCTCCTCAAATCCAGCCCAAAACCCCCTGGGAAAATCCTGGCAGTACAGGCCCACTCTGCTCCACGTGGCAAAGAACCAAATTTACCTCCTGAATTTGAGATTTTCCTGTGTTTGCTTTCACCCATTTCTGGTGGCCTGGGCTTTGGGAAGCTCCCATCCTCTCCTCCTCGCAGCAGGGCTTGAAAATTTGTAAATAGAGCATGGAATAGAAGAGAAAAAAACACCTCTTGTTTTTCTTCAGAAGAATGCTCCCAACTTTGGCCAGTTTGCAGAGGATTGGGAAATCACAGCTCACGTGTGCTCAGCACAGCCTTGGCTTTGGGGTTTGGTCGTGTCCATGTTGGGATAACTCTGCTGCTGATGGAGACCAGGTGGAAAAGGCCCTTGGAGGGGGGGATGTGGGGCCTGGCCCATCACAGGGGATGTTTAGGGTGAATGGTGGCAGCACATCAGCCCCATTTCTGCACCTACAGGGCTTTGACCTCCAAGAGGAACCACAAACATCTGCCCTGGCCACTCCCCATGAGACCTCCTGGTCCTTGCCCTTCCCACCAGTCTGTCCCAGAGTCTGGCTGGAATCCCTGGCCCTTGTGAACAGGCAGAGTTTCAGCACCTACCCCATATTTTGGAGGATGCCCCTCCCTCAGTTCAGAGAGGCTCTGCAGGGCTGAGGGGAGATGCCATCCCTGCACAAGGGCTTTTCCTGGATCCGCTGGTGGGAACAGAGCAGAGCTGGCCCTGACTGCTCCTATTTGGGTGTCACTTCAGGGTGTCCATCCACTGCCCCAGCAGTGACACTTGGCCAGATGAGGCTTCACTGCTGGAAGGCACTGCCACCTTCTCTGAGTGTCCCCAGAGCCACCAGCACCTCTGGAGCCACCTGTGCTTCCCTGCCCATCCCAGCTCCCAAATCCGTGCTGGATGCAGACTCCCCTCCTGCTGACTCTTTGACACATTCCCCATATTCCAAAAATAATTTAGCCCGCTCCTAATTGCTTCTTGGAAAGCAGAGATGCGCAGGGGGAGCCAAAGTTTAGAGCAACCACAGCACAATGGCTCCAGCAAGGCCACCCTTGTCCTGCCCTGCCCAGCCCTCCTGGGCCCTGAACACCCCCAGGAGCTCCCCTGGGTCCCAGCTGGAGCTGGAGCTGGGAGGTTTTGGGGCTGCCTGAGGTCTGCCCTTGCTCCCAGCCTCACTGGGTGTGATGAACCTCAGAGCAGGGGAAAGGATCCAGCTGGACCTGCTGGCAGGGCTGGAGCGTCCCAGTCACCTCCCCTGTCCTCTGGTGGTCTCCAGGTGGGGAATTTGGAGCTGATGGCTCTGCTGGGGACATCCCCAGGCTCGGCTCAGCAGCACTTGAAGCAAAGTTCCACAAAGCTGCTGCTGCTGCAGAGACTGCAGCCCTTTCTGTGGTGGAAAAGCCAAGTACTAAACGCAGGTCCTGGCAGGAAAAGGAAGGAGGAGAGGCTCTGCAAGGGCTTCATTTTCGGGTTGTGGCTGTGCAGTCTCTGAGCCCACCCCGGGGCAGAGGTGAGGGCAGGGCTGTGCCGCCCAGAGGGGTTTGGGACTGAGAGGGCTGGGCACAGATCTGCTGGGCAGGAGGGGGCAGGAGGGCAGAGGAGAGGCCAGCAGGGCTGGCAGGAGTCTGGGGACAGCTCTGGACTGCCTTTGGGACATTTCTGGGTGCACCTGTGGCGCACAAATCACAGAATCACAGAACGAACGAGGTTGGAAAAGACCTTTAGGATCATCCAGTCCAACCTGTGACCCAGCACCTCCTCACCAGCTAAACCCTGGCGCTGAGTGCCACCTCCAGGCTTTTTTAAACCCCTCCAGCGTCCGTGACTCCACTACCTCCCTGGGCAGACAATTCCATTGCCCAGTGACTCTTTCAGTGGAGAATTATTTTCTGGCATCCTGCCTAAACTTCCCCTGGTGCAGCTTAAGAGCTCTTCCATGGCCTCAAACCCTCCCCTGACCCCTGCCCGAGGGCATCACACCCATCCCCTTCCCTCCTCAGACGAGAAGCCCTGGAAGGGGAGGCACTGGTGGCTGAGGACGCTGAAACCCTCCCCTCTGAAGCCCTCGGGCAACCACAGCCAGCGGGGCCAGCTGCCCCTGAAGAGGTCGGTGAGCACCGAGCGCTACGTGGAGACCCTGGTGGTGGCTGACAAGATGATGGTGGGCTACCACGGCCGCAGGGACATCGAGCAGTACATCCTGGCCATCATGAATATTGTAAGTGTTACACCCACACCAGGAACCCCGTGGGATGGGGGAGAATTCCTGCTCGTCACCCTGCCGGGAAAATTAACCCCCAAATATCAGAGGAGACAGAGGCGTCCTTTTTCTTTATTTGAATAAAGGGAGAGACCATGGGGTGTTCCCTTGGGGTCTCTTTAATTTTTGGAGGATGCAGCCTCCTTTTTATCCCAATTTCCCTTCTCTCTTTCCCCATTGGCTGAGGTACTTGAGAGGTTCAGACTTCCTGGAACGCCTGATACCAGAGATTTCCCTCTAATGTATAACCCTGCATTTTAATTTTTACTTCGTATGGAATTTAGGGGTTTCCCCCATTGTTTCTTTCATCTTTCAATATCCAATTTCATTTATCAGCAAACTTAGTGTTTGTTTGTAAAGGTAAATATCCTTTTCCATTAATCAATCACTGGAATCCTTCCCATCGTTTCTTTTATCTCTCAGTGCTGGTTTTATCTACCAGAAGCCCCATAGTTTGTAAAGATAAATCCATCATTCCTCCCAACCCCAAAAGTCCCGGTTGGGAAAAGTAGATTTTCCTGCACGAAGCGGGGTGGGGAAATTGGATCTGTTCCAGGCTGGCAGTGGCTTCTCCCCATGCTCAGAGCAAGGTTTTGGGGTCAAAAATCCTGCCAGGCTGGTGCTGCTGAGCCCTGGGAGCCCAGAGCCTGGAGAGGTAAACTCTGGCCTGTCTGAGCCCGGGCTGGGAGAACAAAAGCCTTTCTTTGAACAGCATCTCCCAGCTCAAATTAGCATTGCAAATGCTGCCGGGCAAGCTGAGAAACACATGGGAAAGCAGAAGGACAGGCAGCTCTCACGCTTGGGGGCTGAGCAGCAGAGGGGCTCAGAAATCCCCCCGAGCTGCGGTTCTGCTTTGGGGCACTGCTGGCGGCAGGGTACCGGGCTGGATGCATGAACAGCCTGAATTGGCCGAGCTGGATCCTCCTGTGAGGTGAGATGAGCTTGGAAGTTATCCATCAACCCTCTGAAAGCCCCTCTGTGAGGGCTCTTTGTCCCATCCTCCCCAGGATCGCTTTCCACGCTTTGCATTTCTAAAGCCACACCGCCAGATTTCCAAACAATCCCCGTGTTTCATCTGCTCCGAAACATTCCTGGGGGATGCTGTGGCCTTCCGGATCCCCCGAGGGATGCTGAGCCCTCCCCTCAGCACAGAATTCCAGCAGTGGGGACTGCCCCACCTGGGCTGTGAGATTTTGGCTTCACTGCTCTGAGACAGTGAGCTCGGACGTGGTTTAGGGGATTCTGCTACTCAAGTGGTGGTGTGGGGTCCCAGTCCCATCCCTGCTTCCCAAAAATGTTGGGTTCACACCCCACACTGCAGTGCCCAGCCCTCCCCAGCTCGCCTGGCCACAGAGCTCATTTTTAAGACTCCTCTTTTCTTGTTTCTTGGAGGTCAGGTTGCCAAACTTTTCCAGGACTCGAGTCTGGGCAATATTGTCAATATCCTGGTCACCCGGCTGATCCTGCTCACCGAGGATCAGGTAAGCTGGGCTTTGCTGAGCCTGTCCTGTGCCTGCACTTCCCTTCAGGAGCTGTGTGACCCCCTGGATGTCACTCCCAGGAATTCCCCCCAGTGCACATCCTCTCAATGCCCCCTGAGGGCTGGGCTGAGCAGACCTCTGGAAATCTGATTTTTTTCCATGATAAGGTGATTTTAAGGAGGTTTAAGCAGCTTTAGTTCTCCTACAGTGCTGTTGGAGCCCTGGTCACTGAGAATTTCAGCCTTTCTGTGCTGACAGACACTGACCCCCAAGAGAACACTGCATTGACCTGAGGCCGTGGAGAAGCTTCCAAAATGGAATGACAGAATTGGGATTGTGGGTGTGGAGTTTGAATTGAAGTGTGGAATATCACAGGGTGGGAAACTTAGAGTTAAAGGGTTTAGAATATAGTAATATATATATAAAAAAAAGATGGAGATTTTAGGGCAGAGGCTGGTCCTTCTTCTCCTTCTTCTCCTTCTTCTTCTCCTTCTTCTCCTTCCTTACCTCCTCCTCCTCCATCTCCTCCTCCATCTCCTCCTCCTCCTCCTCCTCCTCTTAATCCCAACCCTGGCAAAAAGAAGTTAAGACTCAACAAAGTCCCACTTCTCTTGCTTTCCCATGGGCTCCATGAGGAACTGGGGGTGCCTGGAGTGGTGTCAGTGCTCTGCTGGCACAGAGTGGGCAGTGCCTTCCCACCAGAGCTTTCCTGGGTGCCGGAGCTCACCCTAGGTCAAGGGTGGCTCTGTGTGGTGGAAAAGTCTCTCCTCCAAGCCGAGCTCCCAAAGGAAGGCTCAGCAGTCTCTGTTATCCAGTCTCAAGGCAGTTTATTGCAAGTTATCTAAAAGATTTTCTCCTCGGGCTGCTGTGGTTTGCTCACAGCTCAGGCAGAGGCACACACACCCCCTGACATCCTCTCTGACTCCCGACTGCTTCTTCTCTCCCTGCCCAGGGCTGTGCTATCTTTTATATGGTACATTACGTGTTTAATGTTTATAGTTTTCCCCCAATGCCTATTACCTATATTAAATGGTGCTTTTCTACTCTAACCCAATCTTTGAGTGCCAACATCACCAAGAACATGGAGGTAAGGAAGAAGAAAGAGGGAGAACAGGGCAGGCCCAAATCCCTCCATCTTAAAACTTCTGACCCCCATGTACAAAACCAAAACCCCCCTGTACAGCACTCAAAAATTCTTCCCTCTAATTTGTGACTACTTCTACTCTAATATCTAAACTTTTGTGACTTCTTGTTCTTCCTACAAGGTTGGTAAATCATTCCATGGCTCAAATCCAAAATCACAGCTGTTTCCAGCTGCCTGCCAGGGTCTCAAATGCTTCTGACCTGGGCCTGGAACCTCCAAAAATGTCTGAGGGACATTTTGAGTTCCGACACCTGGGAACACACTCTGCCATTGCTTCCTTTCCAGCCCACGCTGGAGATCAACCACCACGCCGGGAAATCCCTGGACAGCTTCTGCAAGTGGCAGAAATCCATCGTCAACAGGAACGGCAACGGGAACGCCATCCCGGAGAACGGCATCGCCAACCACGACACCGCCGTGCTGATCACCAGGTGAGCCCTTCCCCTGGGCTGGCAGCTGTCCTGGCTCCAAGCTCATCCGAGGCTTCCTGAGTCTCCGTGGGTGCAGATTACTGAATTCAATTATCACCCTCCAGGTCAGCCTATCAATCTCCAGTTAGTCTGTTACCAATCTCCAGTTAGTCTGTTATCAATCTCCAGTTAGTTTGTTATCAATCTCCAGTTCAGTCTGTTATCAATCTTCACCCCAGTTTGTTGTCACACTCCAGTTCTCCATCAGTCTTTACTGGGATGGATGATGGATGGATGATGGATGGATGGATGGATGGATGGATGGATGGATGGATGGATGGATGGATGGATGGATGGATGATGGATGGATGGATGGATGGATGGATGGATGGATGGATGGATGGATGGATGATTAATGGATGGATGATTAATGGATGGATGGATGATGGATGGATGGATGGATGATGGATGGATAATGGATGGATGATGGATGGTGGATGATGGATGGATGGATGGATGGATGGATGGATGGATGGATGGACGGATGGATGGATGGATGGATGATGGATGGATGATGGATGGATGGATGGATGGATGGATGGATGGATGGATGGATGATGGATGGATGATGGATGGATGGACGGATGGATGGATGGATGGATGGATGGATGGATGGATGGATGGATGGATGATGGATGGATGGATGGATGGTCAGTAGGAAGGAGGACACACAGGGGATGACAGGGACAGTGGAAGGAATGGCAGGGCAGCTGGAAGGCCAGTGGATGCTGCAGGGATGGAGGGCACAAGGGGTGCTGAGCTCCCCAGGTGCTGCTGGCTGTGCCCAGGATTGTCCCACCAATCCCCACAAATCCCTGCTTGGACGGAGATAAAACTGGGAGAGGCCAAAGGCAAACCCAACATTATTTTGTGCCTTTCCCCCTCTCCCGTGGAGAGGAAGAAAGTCAGGAAATGAAAGTGCTGGCGGGGGGAGCCTCCAGGCGGGAGCTGCTTCCTTTTTCCATGTGCTGCTCCCTGCTCCAGCCCCAGCGCGAGCCTGGAACACCCCACGGATGAGACCCCACAGAGGAGCGACAAAAGAACCCCTCAACCCCAGATTTTCCCCCTCCCGAGGGGGCTGCAGCTTTTTTGGGATGCAAACACCGGTTCCCAGCTCTCCATCCTCCCTCCAGATGTTGGAGCCAGCCCGGAGCCGCTCGCTGAGCCCGGACAGCGCCCGGCATCCGGCCCCAGAAATTCCCGGTGTCCCGATAAGATCTTGCTGAGCTCGGGGCTTTTTTATTCTCCTGCGGGGACGAGGCAAAGCAGAGCCTCCGAAGGCTTGAAAGGCATTCGATCAAAACAAAGCAACAAATGTTTTGTGCTCTGCTCGGTTTCCTGCCGAGAGGAGGGGAGAGGTTTGGGCACTTCCAGGGAGCGCCAGGGGCCAAAGGGACAGGAGCCATCCCCGGAATGTGTCGCACTTAACCCTTCGTGTGCTGCCACTTCTCACCGCCCACCCTCATCCCCGAGGGGTCAGTGGGGGGAGTGGTGCTGGAGGGTCCTGCCCAGTGTCCCCAAACCCGCTGTGGGGTCACAATCCTCAACCCTCACCCCCATGGGTGTTCCCAAACCATCTCTGGGGTCACAATCCTCAACCCTCACCCCATGGGTATCCCCAAATCTGCCCTGGGGTCACAATCCTGTCCTGCCCACCCTGTGGGTGTCCCCAAACCTGCTGTGGGGTCACAATCCTCGGTGCAACCCCAACCTGGTTCCGGGGTGGCCCAGCCCAGCCCAGCTGCCCCTGGTCTCCCAGCTGACCCCACCCTACCCAGCTCTCAGCCTGGCCCCTTTCAGCCCAGATTTGCAAACCCCAAATGTTTATCTTTGCAAGGAAATGAGAATATTCCCTCTCTAACCCAAGCTGGTCTCATTTGGAGCTGTCACCTCTTCCCATTTTGAGGATGCTGCGTTTCCATCTGGAGGTTTTTTCTCTCCTTCTTTTACCTTTCCTTGTACCCAGCTAATGATGTGCAAACAGAGGATTCCTTCATGCAATGGCTGGAAGTCGAGGCCAGGAGCAGAGGGAAGAGTCACCTTGAATCAACCCAGATTGGATTTGTTTAGAAAATTCTCAGTAAAGAACTGAACTAGGAAAAAAAATAGAAATAAAAAAATCACTTGAGCGCTTTCATGAAACCACAGTGGGGTTTGAAACAGAACATGTTTTCAAACTGAAATGTTTATTTTTATTTTGTTTTTAATCAGAATTTCATATGCACCATCCCTGGCAGTGTCCAAAGCCAGGCTGGACAGGGTTTGGAGCACACTGGGGTAGTGGAAGGTGTCCCTGCCATGGCAGGGGGTGAAATGAGATGATTTTTAAAGTCTTTTCCAACCCAAACCATGCTGGCATTCTGTGTTTCTCTGTTGGATTGATACAATTTCCTGCAAGAGACCTGAGCTGACAGAGCAGAGGTTGGCCCTGTCCTCTTCCCCCTGTGCCCAATGCCTCCCAGGAGTGCTGGGGAGCAGAGCAGGACCCACCCAAACCCAAAGAGCTCCCTGTCTGGAATAACCTTGTCCTTGCTGATTTATGGAATCATTAAGGTTGGAAAAAGCCTCCAGGATCATCAATTCCAACCTTTGACTAAATTCCCTTGCCCACTAAACCACATTCTGAAGTGTCACATCTGCTCATGTTTTTAACACCTCCGGGAGCGGTGACTCCACCACTGCCCTGAGCAGCCCGTTCCAATGCCTGATAATCCTTTCCATGAAGAAATTTTCCCTAAAATTTGATCTAAACCTCCCCTGGCACAGCTTGAGGCTCTTTTCTCTCCTGTCCCTGTTCCCTGGAGCAGAGTGTGACCCCTCCGTCTGTCCCCTACTGTCAGGAGCTGTGCAGAGCCACAAGGTCCCCCCTGATCCCCCTTTTCTCCAGGCTGAGCCCCTTTCCCAGCTCCCTCAGCTGCTCCTGGTGCCCCAGCTCCATTCCCTTCCCTGCTCATGCTCTACCACCACATTTCATCAAAACCAGACCTCTGACCTGGCTCAGCTCTGTCATTGAAACTCAGCAAAGTGAGTGTTGTCCTCACTGTCACCATTGGTATCTCCATCCCAGAATATTTCATGGGCTGGTTTGGAGTGGTTTGGATGTGAACACATGGGTGAAATGAAAACCACCAAAACCAGAATGTCCTTAACGTTGCCTTCCCTCCTTGCAGGTACGACATTTGCATCTACAAGAACAAGCCCTGTGGCACCCTGGGTGAGTGGAAATCTGACCCCCCCTCAGCAGCCCCCAGCAGCACAGAGAGCTTTGGCAGTGTGATGAGGGTGGGCTGTGCCATCCCCCATCCCAACTGTGCCATTTCCTTTCCAGCTGTGCCATCCCCATCCCAGCTCTTCCATTCCCCTTTCCCAGCTGTGCCATCCCCTTTCCAGTTGTGCCATCACCATCCCACCTGTGCCACCCTTTCTCACCTGTGCCATCCCATCTCACCTGTGCCATTCATTTCCCAACTGTTCCATTCCCCTTTCCCACCCGTGCCATTCCCTTGTCCCACGTGTGCCACCCCCTTTCCATTTGTGCCATTCCCATCCCATCTGTTCCATTCCTCTTTCCCACCTGTGCCATCCCTTTCCCAGCTGTGCCATTCCCCTTTCCCGCCTGTGCCATTCCCCTTCCCATCTGTGCCACCCCATTTCCCAACTCTTCCATCCATTTCCACCTGTGCCATTCTCATCCCAACTGTTCCATTTCCTTTCCAGCTGTGCCATCCCCTTTCCCAGCTCTGCCATTCCCCTTTCCAGTTGTGCCATCCCCTTTCCACCTGTGCCATTCCCATCCCAACTGTGCCATTCCCGTCCCAACTGTTCCATTCCCATCCCAACTGTTCCATTCCCATTTCCCATCTGCGCCATCCCCATCCCAGCTCTTCCATTCCTTTCCCACCTATGCCATCCTTTCCTACTTGTGCCATCCCTTTCCAGCTGTTCCATCCCTTCCCAGCTCTTCCATTCCCCTTTCCCAGCAGTTCCATCCCTTCCCAGTGAAGGTGCAGCTCCTGCCCCAGCACCAGCAGCAGGGCCAGGACCAGCCCAGTGCTTTCCAGCCTCCTGTCCCCCTGTGAACACTAAACCAGCAGCCCTGAGCTCGGCTGGGCTCTGGAACTCCTGGGCCAGCTCCAGCCTGGTGATTAAGAGCCACTCTCATTTCGGGCTTGTCCGTGGCCTGTTGGAGTTCCTGGCTGGGCAGAGAGAAATCCAGCGGTTTTGTGATGGCTGCAAAGGGAGTTTTTATTGTCACAGCCAGGCCCTGCAGCCTTGCAGCTCCTCCTTTGTCTCACCCTGGTCTGGACTGGGCAGGCAGGGAGGGATTTCTGCTCTGCATCACTGTGGGGAGAGCTGGTGGATCTCTGACCTGCTGCTGAGGCTGGACATGCTGGGATGGCTCAAATCATTCCCCTGGCACAGCCAGGCCCCACCCTGGCCCAGTGCAGAGGGAATTTGCTGTCACAATGCAGAGGGAATTTCAGCATCACCCAGTCCTCCACACGAGCCATGCTGGATTGCTGGTGGGTGCCAGGCAGAACCGAGGTTGGATCCTGGCTTGCTCAGCTCTCCCTGGGCAGCTTTGGATGCCCCACAGCTGGTGCAGCCATCTGAGATTCCCCACTAGGGCTGTGCCAAGGATTGCTCCCCTTTGCACCATTTCAATACAAAATTCAGAGGATTTTTAGACTGTTAATTTACCATCAGTGCTGAGCGACCGTGTCCCCTAAGAACCACGAGTCCATCACAAAGCCCAGTGCAGTGGTGAGAAGGAACTGCTCAGTGTTCCAGAGCACGAAGCGCATCAGGCAGTGCCCAAACACGACCCCTCAGCCACGCTGTGGTGGCCCTGTGTGACAGCTCTGTCCCCTCCCCAGGCCTGGCCCCCGTGGGTGGGATGTGTGAGCGGGAGAGGAGCTGCAGCATCAACGAGGACATCGGGCTGGCCACGGCCTTCACCATCGCCCACGAGATCGGCCACACGTGAGTGCAGCACCTGAGAGCCCCCAGCAGCTCCTGCTGCTTGTCCCTGCCACCAAGGGCTTGTTATAGATACATAGAATATATAATATTGGCTTTTAAATATTTCATCCAAATATTAAAGTGGGTTCTATATGTGTGGTGTTAAAGTAACTTTGTTATAAAGATATAGTTTTTATTTCTGTTGTTAATTAAGCTTAGTGAAATAGCTGATATATTGTGTTAAAATGCCTGCTGGGATGGGATAACATCCAATAAAAATATAATGAGGACACCTGTATGGATCTGCCAACCATCAGCACTCAATGACTGAAGGCAGTGAGCACCAAGGCCCAAAAACGAGGTGATAAAAAAAGGACTAAAACCACAACCAAGGAATGTGCATGCTCCAAAAAGGCAGACCCAAGGAGGAGCCAGGCTAAGCAGTTCTTGGAATATGTAAACTAGTTTGGGGGAAAAGCTTACTATGCATAAGGATCTATGAATATGCAACTGGATGATGTAAAGGAAAAGGTATTTAAGGGATGTCCCTGAAAATAACAGGGTGCTCTTGGCTGAGTGCCAAGATGCACCCCATAATCTTTGCTTTACTTGTCTTTGTCTCCTACTGTCCTCTATTAAACTTCTTAAATTGTCACAGGAGAGTGAAGGTGTTTTTCACAGCCTGAAAACCCTTCATGTGGACCATCCACACCTGTCCAACCCCAGCTGGATGAATTTTCCCAATAACTGGGGCTTAGGGAAAAAAAAGTCTGCAAACTTGATTTCCTTCTTGAGGAATATTTATTCTATTTCATAAAGGAAGTTAAGCTTGTCATTAGACTATTAGTTAATGATCTAACACAAGGAATTTAAATAACTGAAAAAATTCACTTTCTTTACTTAAAACAGTTTGAGTGTTCTTGAGAGTGATTGTTAAATTGTACAAAACACTAGTTGGAGTAGCTTTTTTAAGGAAAAAAGTCATTTTCTCCAAGTGTGTGTGTGCTGTGGTGGTTTCCAGGTTTGGCATGAACCACGACGGGGTCGGCAACAGCTGCGGCTCACGGGGGCAGGAGACGGCCAAGCTGATGGCTGCTCACATCACCATGAAGACCAACCCCTTCGTGTGGTCCACCTGCAGCAGGGACTACATCACCAGCTTCCTGGAGTAAGGAGTGCTCCCCTCCTGCCCCTCCTGCAGCCTCCCCCTCTCCTCTGGGCAGGGGGAAAGCCAAAGTGGGCCCCCAGCCCCACAGAAACTTCCGTCCTCTCTGCCAGGGTCACGTTCTTTCCTTCCTTTAGACTTCCCGGGGGTTTTCCTGGCTGCTCAACATCTAAAAGCATTGGGGTTGTGGCTGGGAGAGCTATATTATATTATATTATATTAATTATATTATATTAATTATATTAATTATATTAATTATATTATATTATATTATATTATATTATATTATATTATATTATATTATATTATATTATATTATATTATATTATATTATATTATATTATATTATATTATATTACATTACATTACATTACATTACATTACATTACATTATATTACATTATATTATATTATATTACATTACATTACATTACATTAATTACATTATATTACATTATATTACATTATATTACATTATATTACATTATATTATATATAGTATAGTATATTATATATAGTATATTATAGTATATATAGTATATTATTTGTAAACATTTGTATATTTATATAATTTATTTATAATATAAATAACTATATAAAATATATAAATATTTTATAAATGTATATATAATATACCTAAATTTGTGTATAACGTATATTTATAATGCATATAAATTAATATATAAATAGAGTTATTTTAATATATTTTATATATATAAATGACTATATTTATATATTTATTTAGAATTAAATCTATTTATATATTTAAAAATAACTATATAATATATATAATGTAGTATAATTATAATATAGATATAGTATTATATAATGTATATTATATGATATATACTATACTATGTATAAACTATAGTGAATATATACTATATATATAGTATAATATAATACATATAGTATATACATCTGGCAGCTGTGGCTTGGCCAAATCCCACATCTGGCAGCTGTGGCTTGGCCAAATCCCACATCTGGCAGCGGTGGCTTGGCCACAGCCAGGCCTGGTGCCCGCTGGCCGTGCAGGCAGCGAGGCACGGGGCACAGCCTCGTCCTCTGCTGACCCCGAGCTCCTGGCAGGGCTGGAGGAGGATGGAGAGTTCATCCCCTTTCCTCATGGTCTGTGCTGGCCACTCCAGGCCCCAGGAGCCTCCAGTGGGATGTGGTGTGTGCAGGATTTGGGGCTGGGGGTGATGACAGCGGCTTTGATTTAGGGGGAGCTCAGAGAGAAGTGAGGAAAGGGGAGGGAAAGGCATTTCTGGCCAAATTTGGATGTTCCTACAAAGGTCTGGCAAGCAGGAGGTCAGGCTTGGAGGGGAGGCTGAGGCTTCACAGCAGGTGGGGGAGCAGCCCCTCTGCCCACCCAGTGCCCACCCGAGGGTGCTGGGCACACCATGGGGACAGCCTGGAGAGCGGCTGGAGCTGTGCCAGGCCTTGGCATGGAGCTCAGGGAAAGGTTCTTCCCCCCGAGGGTGCTGGCACTGCCCAGGCTCCCCAGGGAATGGTCCCGGCCCCGAGGCTGCCAGAGCTGCAGGAGCGTTTGGACAGCGCTCTCAGGGCTGCTCAGGGTGGGGCTGTTGGGGGGTCTGGGCAGGGGATTGATGATCCCTGAGGGTCTCTCCAAACTCAGGATATTCCAGGTTCCTATGAACCCTCAGATCAACACTTCCAGAGTGACCTTGGAACCAGGATGTGCTTCCCAGCCTGGGAAGGAGTTCAGAGCACTTTCTCTCACCCCGAGCAGACCCAGATTTATCCCCTCAGCAGAGCAGCTGCTGATCCCTCCCCTCCAGTGCTCTCTCTCCCCTCACCCTTTCTCAGCTCTGATTGTCCCTCTGTGCTTCCAGCTCGGGGATGGGATTGTGCCTGAACAACGCTCCTCCCAAGCAAGATTTCATCTACCCCACAGTGGCTCCGGGCCAGGCCTACGACGCCGACGAGCAGTGCCGCTTCCAGTACGGAGTCAAATCCCGCCAGTGTAAATACGGGGTAGAGAGCCTTCCTGCTTTACTATCGTTCCCAGGGCTGGAGGAGGGGGCATGGGGGGGAGGAAAGGTCCATGGGGCTGTCCCTGCTGCCCACATCTGTCATTGTCGCCGTTAGAAGTGAAGGGATGGGACTATTTTCAAGCTAAGAACGATTTGTTGCTCGGATAAACATCAGTGTCAGAGGCCTGAGATTTTAGAGGAGCAAGCAGTCGGTCATAGCTCAAAGAAGTCACAAGTTTCTTTGTTACAAGCCAATATAGAACTTTCTAAACCAACAGACAGTTGCCACAGCGTTTATTTTGCTTTTCTAACCCATCATCTTCACTTACTTCTACTGCACTGTGGATATTTTTGTCCAATGGCTCCTGTCTCACTCGCACACATATGCTTCTATTATAATTTTTGTTCTATACAACCACACCCTTATAAACCCTTCACCATCTTATCAATACAGTTTCCTATATTATAAACCCTTCATCACCTTATCAACATGTTATCCTACATTATAAACCCTTCACCATCTTATCAATAGAGTTTCCTACATTATAAACCCTTCACCATCTTATCAATACAGTTTCTTACATTATAAACCCTTCACCATCTTATCTATACAGTTTCCCATCTAATTAAAGCATATTCTAATTTACAACTATAGGAACATAAGTTTATTATTTTTCTGCTTAATATCTGTGTATTGTATTTTTACATCAATCCCAGCTTCTTCCAAGGCTGCAAATCAAACCCTCCTGTGTCTGTGGAAGTTTCATTTATAAAGCCTTCACCATTTACATTATAACATCTACTACATTATAAACCTTTCACCATCTTCTCAATACAGTTTCCTATATTACAAACCCTTCACCATCTTATCTATACAGTTTCCCATCTAATTAGAGCATATTCTTACTTACAATTATAGAAACATAAGTTTATGATTTTTCTGCTTAATATCTGTGTATTGTATTTTTACATCAATCCCAGCTTCTTCCGAAGCTGCAGATCAAATCCTTCAGTGTCTGTGGAAGTTTCTGTTTTTCTGATTCCCACACACATCACAGTGCTGCTCCAAACCAGGGGCACTGGTGAGCTCCTGGTGAGCTCCATGTTGTGCTTCCCTGGCAGAGCACACAGGAGGGGATGTCCCATCAATAAATATTGATCCCAGCTCAGTTTGGGTCAGATTATTGACCCATGGCAAGAGATTTCTTGCCTCTTCCTTGGCTGCTGCAGGTCCCCCTCATCCAGGCTCCCCTCTCTTTGTACAAGGACATATTTTCTATAATCCTCACCAGAAATCATTGTGCTGCTCATATAAATTTAGGCAGAGAAAAGTCTTTGTCCCAGGTGAGGTGAGGGATGTGCTGGAGGTTGCTGCCCACCTCACCCCCCTCCCACCACCTGACTGCCATCCCCTGGTCTTTGAGCCCAGGAAAATCCTGAAAGGGGGAGCAGGCAGGAAACTCAGGAAATGAGAGTTTAGGGGTTGCCTTGCTGAAGTCCAGCCTGGGGGATTGAGTGCCACAGGAGCTGGGAAGGGCCTGGACTTCCTGATTTCACTTTTGGGTGGGTGCTGGGACAGCCAAGGGAAGATGTTTTGTTTGCTGGAGCTCTGAGAGGTCAGAATGGGCTGAAGTTCAGGATCTGTGGCTCAGGAAACCTTCTGGAAGGAGTTCTGGAGTCCTCAGTGTCACCCAGTGCACCAAGCAGACTAAACTTTGGTGGCCTTGGGGTGGCTGCAGCTGGCAGCACCTGGCAGGCTTTGATCTCTTGTTGTCCCCACCATGCTGAAGACACTCGATGTCCCCATGTCCCCGTGTCCTTGGTGCCTCCCAGGCGTGACACTGCCCCTGGCACAAGCAAATCCTAATCTGGGTTTTGTTTCCTTGTCTCTCCCCTCCTCCCTGCCCCCGTGTCCCCCCCAAATCTCCCTCTCTGCAGGAAGTCTGCAGCGAGCTGTGGTGTCTGAGCAAAAGCAACCGCTGCATCACCAACAGCATCCCGGCAGCTGAGGGCACCATCTGCCAGACCAACACCATCGACAAGGGGGTAAGGCAGCCCTGGGCACCGCAGGGAGCTGGCAGGGAGGGGCTGCGTCCCTTTTCCAGCAAAAAAACTGGATTATTGCTTGTGCTGGGGGTGTGGGGCTGATTCAGGAGCACCCAGCAGCCTGTCCAGCCCTGAGCCCAGAGTGCAGAGCTGCCCTGGAGGGAGGTTGGGATGGGCCAAGGAGCCCAGAAATCACCCCAAAGTCCAGCTCAGGGCTCAGCTTGTGCAGTGCTGGAATATGGAATATGGAGTATGATATATGGAATGTGGAATGTGGAATATGGAATATGGAATATGGAATGTGATATATGGAATGTGGAATATGAAATGTGGAATGTGGAATATGAAATACGGAGTGTAATGTGTGGAATGTGGACTATGGAATATGATATATGGAATATGGAATGTGATATATGGAATGTGGAATATGAAACGTGGAATATGGAATATGAAATATGGAATATGGAGTGTGATGTGTGGAATGTGGAATATGGAATATGCTACATGAAATATGGAATGTGGAATATGAAATATGGAATATGGAGTGTGATGTGTGGAATGTGGAATATGGAATATGATATATGGAATATGGAATGTGGAATTTGGAATATGAAATATGGAATATGGAGTGTGATGTGTGGAATGTGGAATATGGAATGTGATATATGGAATGTGGAATGTGCTGCTGGGATCTTCTGGGATCTCCTGGCTGGTCTGAGAAAAGGGATTTTTTTTCGCCCCAGTTTCCCCAGATCTTTGCTTTCAGAGGAACTTGGGAAAAACTGGCTGCGATGAAACCTTGGCTTTTTACCCTCACCTGGGAGGGGAGGGCAGGATTTTCCCTGACCATGAATTTTGCCTTGATTGCTTCACTCCCTTCTCCTACATTCATTTCCCCAGTACAAAGGGAATGCACTGCTCAAACAAAGAGCCTTTGCAGACTGGGACAATGGAGAATCAGGGCTGGGACATTCCCCATTCCACCAGAAGACAAGTAATTCCAAAGAAACATTTCAGATCCTTAGGAAGCTGGAGCAGCTGGTGTGCAGGGGAGACCATAGCTCTGATAAATCCACGATTTTTTTTATTTTAGTTCTGCAGGGAATTGGGGCAGAGAGGAACAGACAGCTCCTGGGGCTGCACATCCCTCCTGCTGCACACTCACAGGGACTATGGCATTTTTCCCCTCCTAGTCATGGCTTTTTCCCACTTTTAAATATCCCTTTTCCCCCTACTTTTGACTGCTTTTTATCCAACCTTCTTCAAAATCCCTGAGGGAAGGGAAATAAAGCAGTCACAGCCCCCAGGATTTGTGGGAGCTGCTCCCTGTGAGGATTCTGGCTCACTTTGAACCCTCAGTTACCTCCCTGTGCTTATCCTTTTGGATCCAGTCATTCTTTGGAAGTGATTTGATGGCCTTGGGTAGAATTTTATATTAAGAAGAATACACTTTTATATTAAGTTTCTGCACTGTCCCCAGCTGGAGCTCCTGGGGTGAGCCCCAGACCTCAGCCCTTGTCTGGAGAGATCTCCGTGGTCTTCCCTGGCTTCTCCCTTTGCCCTGGGGAGAGCAGACAGAAGGATCAGGGAATTTAAAGTATAAAATATTAAAGGAGAGAGAAAATTTTCTTGCTATGCCAGCCAGTGTGGAGGAAGACCAAGCCAAGATCTGCTGTGCCCACATCCCAAATCTCTGGGTATTTCCTCCTCCCAGATCCTTCTTTTTTAAATTAATCAATCTCCTGTGGTTGTTATGGCTTCACCTGTCTTACCCCAAGAACCCACAGTGGCATTTTTTCCTCCTTTTCCCCACTTTTAATCATCCCTTTCCCCAGCTTTGTAATTGTTTTTTTTACCAGGGTTCCTCAGAGGGAAGGGAAGGGAAGGGAAGGGAAGGGCAGGGAAGGGAAGGGAAGGGAAGGGGAGGGAAGGGAACGGAAGGGAAGGGAAGGGCAGGGAAGGGAAGGGAAGGGAAGGGAAGGGAAGGGAAGGGAAGGGAAGGAAGGGAAGGGAAGGGAAGGGAAGGGAAGGAAGGGAAGGGAAGGGAAGGGAAGGGAAGGGAAGGGAAGGAAGGGAAGGGAAGGGAAGGAAGGGAAGGGAAGGGAAGGGAAGGGAAGGGAAGGGAAGGGAAGGGAAGGTGCCCCCAGGATTTATTAGAGCTATTCCCAGGCTGTGGGAATATTGTGGAATATCTCCTCCACAAGGGATCCCCCTTTGGAGAGGCGTTGGTGCTCCCAGGGCTCGTGAGCTGGGATTCCTGGGAAGCCACCGTGAGTTTTTCCCGGCTGCCCAAGCAGAGCTGGCTCGGGAGGAGCGGGGAGAGGCTGTGCCAGCAGCTCCAGGGTGGGTTCCCAGCCCCTGGAAGGAGCACACTGTGCTTTCTTCCTTCCTGGGATTATCTCAGGCCCCGGGGCTCCGTGTCCGGCACCGCGCCCGGACGGCGGCTCTGGCACCGTCCCACCCTCCCATCGCTGCGGGCTCCAGGGGGTGTGGGACACGTGCCAGGCCTGAGGGAAATATTTCATGGGCAAATTTCCATGAGCATCTGCCTCCCAGTAGGACGGGGACAGGCGGATTCTTTAAGGATTCTCAGCAGAACGATGACAAAACGTTTCTATTACAATTTAAACTTTATTTGAACTCGAGCTCTTCGCTGATCTGGACATTTTGGACACACGAACCACAACCTGAGCTCCCAGTACAAACAAAACTCACTCTGTCCTGGCAGTGGTTCTGTCCATGCCCCCCAGGGATCCTGGCCCTGCCTGGCAGCAGCAGCTCCAATCCCAGATCACCTGGAACTCTGCTGATGGCTTTTATAAGATGTGAGGTGTGGGACCCAGGACCTCTTTAGAGGAGAATCCCAGACTGGTTTGTGTTGGGAGAGACCTTAAACCTCATCCATAGGCAGGGACACCTGCCATAGCCCAGGCTGCTCCAAGCCCTGTCCAGCCTGGCCTTGGGCACTGCCAGGGATCCAGGGGCAGCCACAGCTGCTCTGGGAAATGTCTGGGATGTGACCCCTTGCCAGTGCCTGCCTGTCCCCCAGGATGGTGCCACGGGGACTGGGGACACTGCTCCCACTGACCCCAAGGAGAGACGAGTGCCCTTTGCCTCGGAGAATTTGGCTCCGGTGCAGCTCCAAGCTCAGATTCCTCAGGACCAAAGCAGATCCCAGCCCTGCACTGCCTCTGTGGAGGCTCTGGCAGAAGGAGTTCCCTGCCCAGGCCATCCCAATGTTATAAATGAAAATTTGTCCAGCCAAATTAAAATGAAAAACATAAAATATTTATTTTGCAATCAAATTCTATCTAGCCAGCCACAAGGAAAGAACAGAGCCGAGCCTGGGGTCAGCACCAGAAATCAGCCTCAGCAGAGGTTTTCCTCTATGCCCACACCTCCATCCTGGCACAAGCGCTTTTTATAGGGAAAATTCCACCTGAGACCAAGATTTCAGCAATCAGTCTTTTCTTCCATTCAGAGTCCATAGGTTAATAAGATTTTATTTTTGGTGATGAGGAAGAACAATTCAGTGTCTGGAGTTGTTGAATCCCTTGATGGAATTTACACGCCCGAGGATTTCCATGAGATCCATCCCATACGATGATCAGTGCCCCGTATCTCTCCACACATGGCCCATCCCTGGCCGAGCCACATCCTTTTACGTGTAAATTGGATTCTAATATACACCAGGTCTTCTCTGCAAGGGTGGGGGGGTGTCACGATAGGACACGTGAAAGCACAACGCGAGCCACTGCTATTTGCAAGGTAAAGAAGAAAGTTTTTTCTCTGACTCTAACTTTTATACTTTTCCAAAGGTGACAGTGAGAGTGAAGGTGCCACCTCTCCAAAGACACTGGACAAACTACTAGTATATTAAGTTTCTCTACCCCTATGAAGGAATGCAAAACAATATGTTGTTTATAGAAAATTGTGTGAGAAAGTTTTCTAACAGAATCTAAACTCAAAAGGCTTTGGAAAATCTTAAGAATTAGGGTGACGGAGGGGGGCTTCTAATACAAACGAGTATAATCTAACAAGTATCCAATATTGCACATTTCATACCAGGAATGGCATGAATTATGTTCACTACACGTAACACCGAGCTCTGTGTCCCCGCAGTGGTGCTACAAGAGGGAGTGTGTGCCCTTCGGGACGCGGCCGGAGGGCGTGGACGGAGCCTGGGGGTCCTGGTCATCGTGGGGCGAGTGCAGCCGGACGTGCGGCGGTGGCGTGTCCTCGTCCGTGCGCCACTGCGACAGCCCCAGGTACGTGCGGGTGGCCCTGTCACTGTGGCACTGTCACCGTGGCCCTGTCACCATGGCCCTGTCACCGTGGCACTGTCACCATGGTTCTGTCACCATGGCCTTGTCACCATGGCCCTGTCACTGTGGCACTGTCACCGTGGCACTGTCACCGTAGCCCTGTCACCATGGCCCTGTCACCATGTCCCTGTCACCATGGCCCTGTCACCATGGCCCTGTCACCATGGTCCTGTCACCATGGCTCTGTCACCGTGGCCCTGTCACCATGGCTCTGTCACCGTGGCACTGTCACCATGGTTCTGTCACCATGGCTCTGTCACCGTGGCCCTGTCACCATGTCCCTGGTGAAGCCCAGACCCACACACTAAAGCAGCACAGATTGTGAAAATTATAAAAGCTCAAACCTGAGGCATCACCTGTGCCTCCACACTCAGCTCCTTTATCAGCCTCTGCCTTCCCTCCTCAGAGCCCTGTAAGTGCCTGAGGCTTGGCACGGAGTGAAACTGCAGAGAATGAGGCATAAAGCTGGCACAGATGGCACTGCCCTGAGGAGACAGGAAATTTCCCAGTTGGAGAATTGGCTCACCCACCAATTTCTGCCTTTTCCATCCATGCACATTTGGGAGGGGTGGGGGGAGGAAAGGGAGGGAAAAAGGAAAAGAACCTCGGGCCATTCTCAGTGGAGCAGGGATATTATCCTATTAAAACCCCTGACAATAATCCACTTCTCCAGTGCCACCCCAGGCCTGTGCATGTCTCTTCATGTCACCTGAGCATCAGTGACAGCTGCTCTTAGGTCTGTCTGCATAATTTGGACCTGCTTCCATTTCATTAATGACTCCTGGAAGGTTTGGCAGGTTTTGAATGCCTTTGTCCAGCTCTGTGCTCTGTGTTGGTGTTGGGGCTGCACCACACCCCAACCCCCCTGTGCAAAGCCCTTTGTGCACTCGGGGGGAGATTTTAGGGGCTGTGCCAGGTAGGATCTGTCCTTTTGGTACAGCAGGGTTGGGAAAAGCCACCTGGGGCAGCCACCCCAAGCTCCTCAGGGCAAAAACCTGCCCTGAACAGTCCCTAGAGCTGTTCAACACCTTCATTCCCTCTTTGGCAGGCCCACCATCGGAGGGAAGTACTGCCTGGGGGAGAGGAAACGCTACCGCTCCTGCAACACCGACGTGAGTGGGGACAGCGGGGCTGGGAGGGATGGAGGAGGGGGGATCTGTCCTGAGGGACTGGTGGCAGTGCCCCATTGCCAGGGCTGATGTCCCTGTCCCTGAGGGGCTGGTGGCAGTGCCCCATTGCCAGGGCTGATGTCCCTGTCCCTGAGGGGCTGGTGGCAGTGCCCCATTGCCAGGGCTGATGTCCCTGTCCTCAAGGGGCTGGTGGCAGTTCCCCATTTTCATGGCTGGTGGCAGTGCCCCATTGTCAGGGCTGATGTCCCTGTCCCTGAGGGGCTGGTGGCAGTTCCCCATTTTCAGAGCTGACGTCCTTACTCCCAAGGGGCTGGTGGCAGTGTCCCATTGTCAGGGCTGATGTCCCTGTCCCTGAGGGGCTGGTGGCAGTTCCCCATTTTCAGAGCTGACGTCCTTACTCCCAAGGGGCTGGTGGCAGTGTCCCATTGCCAGGGCTGATGTCCCTGTCCCCGAGGGTCTGGTGGCAGTGCCCCATTGTCAGGGCTGATGTCCCTGTCCCTGAGGGACTGATGTCCCTGTCCCTGAGGGGCTGGTGGCAGTGCCCCATTGTCAGGGCTGATGTCCCTGTCCCTGAGGGGCTGGTGGCAGTGCCCAGCTGTCCCCTGCCCTCCTGGCAGCCGTGCCAGGCCGTCCCAGCCGCACACTGACCAGTGGCTGTGTGACCACAGGACTGCCCGCCGGGCTCGCAGGACTTCCGAGAGCTGCAGTGCGCCGAGTTCGACAACGTGCCCTTCCGAGGGAAGTACTACACCTGGAAAACCTACCGGGGAGGTGAGGCGGGGCGGGGGCCGCTGGGGCTGCTCTCCTTTGCTGCAGGGTGGTAGAAATGCTGCGGCCTTCTTCGAGGTGTCTCCTTCAGAAGCCGCTGGAGTAAGGCAGTGTTACAGGCTGGGGATGGTGTGGCAAAAGGGACCTGGGGGTGCTGGTCAGCAGCTGGCTGAACAGGAGCCAGCAGTGTGCCCTGGTGGCCAAGGAGGCCAATGGCTCCTGGCCTGTGTCAGGAATGGTCGTTCTGCCCCTGTACTTGGCCCTGTACCAGGCTGCACCTTGAACACTGTGTCCAGTTTTGGCCCCTCAGTTTGGGAGGGACATTGAGATCCTTGAATGTGTCCAAAGGAGGGCAAAGAGGCCGGTGAGGGGCTGGGAACACAAACCCTGTGAGGAATGACTGAGGGAGCCGGGGGTGCTCAGCCTGGAGAAATGGAGACTCAGGGGTGACCTTATCACTCTCCACAACTCCCTGAAAGGTGGCTGTGCTCAGGTGGGGTTGGGCTCTTTCTCCAGAAAGTGACAGAACCAGAGGACACAGCCTCAAGCTGCCCCAGGGGAAATATAGGTTGGATATTTGGAAAAAGTCTTTTCCAGAAAGGGTGATAAAGTTCTGGAATGGCTGCCCAGGGCGGTGGTGGAGTCACCACCCCTGGGTGTGTTTAACAAAGCCTGGATGTGGCTCTGGGTGCCAGGGCTGAGTTGAGGTGTTGGGGCTGGGCTGGACTCGATGATCTTGGAGGTCTCTTCCAGCCCAGTGATTCTGTGAATTCTGTGAGAACACATGCACACACATCACAGATAGCTCAGCGGAGGAAGGACAGGAAGGGTGTCTGATGTCTTCCAGCGAAGGTTTATGGCATCCACCACACCAAAGGGATCAGGCACAAACACTTGGTCATGTGCCCTGCACAAGGTTAAGTAGGGGTCAATGGCCAATGGTCTGATGTCAGACTAAGCCCTGCTCTGAACCAGAGATTGGGCAACTGAGAGGTGTTTTAAAAACTTTTATTCCATTTTCAGTCTCCTTTGAAGGGCGAGATAATGCAGGTGTTACAATTCACACCATCACAATCAAAAGCCAACTATTTCCTAATTACAAAACACTGTAAGCATTTCTTGGCCTATCAGCTTTTACCACACCATGCTGTAGGTGCCTTAAAGCAAATAATCTAAAATGAATCTTTGTGGGTCCTAATAGAATGTAATTTTTTATAGTTTTATTTCTTTAAAGTATTTAGTGGGGTTTTTTTTGTAAGGTTATTTTTTGAAATTTGTTTCTAGTTTAATTTCTCTTTCAACAATGTCTGTCCTATTCCATGGCCTTTCTAAATCAGCATTTCTTATCTCAAGGTTTGCATACAGATGCACACACTGTGTGAGCCTTCTGTCGGGTTTTGAGAATTTTCTACCAAATCCATTTGCCACAGTCTGAGGACAAGGGCATTGGCCTACAGGGAAGATGGGGCTGGCCACCAGGGATACCACAACCAATGAGGGAACAGGGAGAGGAGAAACCACAAGAATTTGGGACATATGGGGAAAAGAACTGGGGTGGATCATAAGTCAGGTGCCCATGGGGAGGAGACAGAGCAGGCAGGGAAAGCTTCCTGAGCAGGAGAAGGGATGGGATCTGGTGGATCCTTCAAAGAGCAGCGCTTCCCTCTTGCCGAGGTCAGCCCTGGGTCCTGCAGAAGGCTCTGGAGGAGGCTCTGTGGCAGAAATCTCTCAATAATGAGGAGGAAGAGCTCATCTCCTTGGTGCAGTTAATGAACTGGACTGGGGAAATCCTTCCCAGCTGTGTAAACAAGCCCAGCTCCCAGCAGGGCTCCTGCAGCTGGAGCAGCTGGGCTGGGGCTGCAGGGGATGGATCAATAAAAATCTAATAAAATTGGGAGGCTGTAAAGTCACCCCAAGTGGATGCCAAGGTGGAAGACAACCCTGCAGGCTGGAGCTGCCCTGGCTCAGACCTCTCTCCTCCCCAGGCATGGCCCAGGGCTTGGCTGGCCAGCTGAACATCACCCTTGGGGTGTCATCTGTCCCTGATATGGATTTTTTTGCTTTCATGAAGAGCCCCTTCCTCTCTCTGCTTCAGCTTCCTCTGCCACAAAATAAGTGATGAAAGCTCTCCCCTCGTGGGATGGGCAGTGCTGACAGTGCCATGGTTTGAAGGGATCTGGGAGCTTCATCTCCTCTTCCCACGGTGGCTGTGGGTCATGAGAAGCATTTTTGTTTTGTTTACTCAAAGGGTGTCACTGTTGTCCCCTGAGGAACCTTGGAGTGGGGGAAGTCAAAGAACTTCTCTGCACAAGTCTGGGCTCTCTCTCAGAACTGGGAGACCTGGTGTGTGTCCAGTACCTAAAGGGGGCTGGAAAGAGAGAATTTTAGCTATATTTACAATAATGTGCCAATATCTGTCACCTACGTTGGACAGTGTGTCCCCAGCCTGAACCAACAGAAAAATGCCAACACCACAGTGAAACATGGAGGGCATGAAGAAGGAGAAAAAGGACAAGACACACCCAATTTCCTCCATCTTGTCCCCTTTGGACCCCTTATCTAGAATCCTAAAATTTTACTTTTGCACCTGTGCCACACTTAATTATTACTCTTATCAAACACTCAGAGCTTGTAATTCACCCTGTAAGATTGAAAACTCTTTTCCATGGACAGAGATCACAGCCAGTGTCTCTGGGGGCTCTGTCCAGGGGGGTTCCTGACCCCTGCCAGGGTCCCAGACCTGCCAGGGCAGCCAGGGGGAAGCTCTGGATTCCCACAGGGGGTGGCTGCTGAGCTCTCCCTGCTTCTCCAGGGGCTTGCCCAGGCATCCTGCTCCAGAAAATGTCTCCAAGCTGCTGAATTCCCCTCTCTGTCTCCTCCTGTTCCTCCCTCTCCCAGCTTTGCTCTCTCTTCCCCCCAGCTGCACTCCAGGCACAGCTGGGCCCCCTCCCCTTCCCTCCCTCTGCCCCTTTGATGTTCTGTACGAGTTTCCAGCTTTGCACATTCCCATTCCTCCCATCCAAGGTGCTTCCCAGCCCTGGCACAGGGATCAGGAGCTGGGTGGTGCCTCCAGGGGGGAACTGCCAGAGCTCAGGCACCTCTGCCAGGCTCCTGCTGGATCTCCTGGGATGCTCAGGAACAGCAGCAAACGCCACAAGCCACAGCAGAGTTTGAGAGAATCCAGAGGCAGGAGCCAGGGAATGCTCTGCTGGAGCCACATCCTGCTCCCAGGCACTTCATCCAGATACCAGGTGCTTTTCCTGGGGTGATACTTTGGCAAAGGTTGTTAGAAAAGATAGGAAATACAGAAATTTCAGCTGTAACTTGAAGATCCTTCTTCATCCTCACGCTGCTGTCATCACCTTTGCTGGGAAGGATTCACCTCAGACAGAAAGGAATGGTTTCCCTGGCCCAGAAACTTGGTTGTTCTGCTCTGGCAGCTGAAAAAATCCTTGGAAAGGTAATTCAGGAGCTGCTGCCTCAGTTTCCCTGTTGGTAAAGTGGGCAGAAGGGTTTTACGACTCGTGAAGTGCCAGGAGTGCCCTGGATAAGAACAAACCCCTTTGTTTCCTTGCCTGTCACATCCAGCCCACGTTGCCAGGCTGTGCAGGAGGGGCAGTGTCCCCACGTCCCCACGGGGTCTGTGTCCAGCTCAGGGGCCTGGCTCCCTCCTCCAGGGGCATCCTCCTGGTTTTCTGCATCCTTTCTTATGGGAATAAATCACACCAGCTCCATTTTCCTCATGGTTGAAAAAAACCCATTCTTTATTCACACAACTCCTTTTTATCCAGTTTTACAGACCTCACGTGTGACTCCAATTAGTCAGTAGCTTTCTTGCCAATTACTTTTATTGATTAGTAACAAGTTGTTATTCTGTATTGATTGGTCACTCAAATCCGCCGTGTACATGCAGGGAAAGTTGTTTGTAAGATTTTTCTATCTAAAAACAGTTTATAAGGTGCTGGTTGTTTTTTACCTAGGAAAAGATGGTTATGTTAATGCAATTCTCACACCAGGATTGCTTTCACATGGGAACTTGCAAAGTGCTGGCTTTGCCACCGATTCCAGGAGAGCTGGTTGATTTTTTGAAGCCTTTATGATTTTTTTTTACCTTTTGAAGACGTTTGAAGCTGTGCTCCTTCCCCAGGGGGTGTCAAGGCCTGTTCCCTCAACTGCCTGGCCGAGGGCTTCAACTTCTACACGGAGCGGGCGGCGGCCGTGGTGGACGGGACCCCGTGCAGGCAGGACTCCAACGACATCTGTGTCAACGGGGAGTGCAAGGTGGGACAGGACAGAGCCCTGGGCAGGGGGACAGGGACAGACCTGGGAAGGGGACAGGGACAGAGCCCTGGGCAGGGGGACAGGGACAGAGCCCTGGGCAAGGGGACAGGGACAGAGCCCTGGGGCAGGGGGTATAGGGACAGACCCAAAGCAGAGGGGACAAGGACAAACATGGGCAGAAGGGACAAGGACAGATCCCTGTGTGGGGGGACAAAGACAGACCCCCAAGCAGAGGAGACAAGAGCACACCCCTGGGCAGAGGGGACAGGGACAGACCCAAAGCAGAGGGACAAGGGCAGACCCCCAGGCAGAGGAGACAAGAACATACCCCGGGGCAGAGGGGACAGGGACAGACCCCTGGGCAGGGGGGGACAAGGACAAACCTGGGCAGAGGGGAAAAGAACAGACCCCTGGGGCAGGGGAGACAAGGACAGACCCAAAGCAGAGGGGACAGGGACAGACCCCTGGGCAGGGGGGACAGACCCAAAGCAGAGGGGACAGGGACCAACCCCCAGGCAGAGGGGACAAGGACAGACACTTGGGATGGGGGGACAAGGACAGATCCCTGAGCAGGGGAGACAGGGACAGACTCAAAGCAGAGGGGACAAGGACAGATCCCTGGGTAGGGGGGACAAGGGCAGACTCCCAAGCAGGGGACAAGAAGAGACCCTTGGGCAGGCAAGCACTGCCCTCAAACTGCTCACACAGACATGGGATGGGTGGAGGGTTAAGAGAGCTGGGGGTGCCCACCTGGAGAGGAGAAGCTCCAGGGAGAGCTCAGAGCCCCTGGCAGGGCCTGAAGGGGCTCCAGGAGAGCTGGAGAGGGACTGGGGACAAGGCCTGGAGGGACAGGACACAGGGAATGGCTCCCACTGCCAGAGGGCAGGGCTGGATGGGAGATTGGGCAGGAATTGTTCCCTGGCAGGGTGGGCAGGCCCTGGCACAGGGTGCCCAGAGCAGCTGTGGCTGCCCCTGGATCCCTGGCAGTGCCCAAGGCCAGGCTGGACAGGGCTTGGAGCAGCCTGGGACAGTGGGAGGTGTCCCTGCCATGGCAGGGGTGTCACTGGATGGGATTTATCAAACCATCCTGTGATTCCATGATTTCTGTGCCTGGACACCCAGTGGGAGCAGGAGCATTCCCATCCACCCTGCATCCCCCGCCTCACAGATGGATCTCTGCACTCCCGGCCCCTTTGATGTTTCCCTTGCAGTGGGATCTGGGGGGGGGCTGTAAAGTCAATTCTGAGGAAGTGCTGTGGGAGCAGTCAGCAGACAGACAGACAGACAGACAGACTGTGTGTCTGTCTGTCTCCCTTCCTGTATCTCTGGGATCTGTTTGTCTCCACGGGGATGTAGAACAAAGGGGGATCATACCCGAGGGAGGCACAGCTGTGCTGGTGTCCCTGGTGCCACCCCATGGGTGGTGACAGAGGGACAGAGGCCACAAGGCCACATCAGCTGCAGGGACAGGGCTTCCCTTGGGCTCCAGCCAAGCTCTGCTTTACCCCAGCCTTGGAGAGACCCTCCCAGGAGAGGTGTCCAGGGCACTGTGGGGACAGCAGGGGAGGGAAGGGTCCCTCCAGGCCGGCTCATTCTGCTGCTCCCCCCGCAGCACGTGGGCTGTGACCGGGTGCTGGGCTCCGACGCCAAGGAGGACAAGTGCCGGGTCTGTGGGGGAGATGGCAGCTCCTGCGAGACCATCGAGGGCGTCTTCAACCAGTCCCTGCCCGAGGGAGGTAGGGAACAACTGGCCTGCTCACCCTCAATCCCTCCCCCACCTCACCTGCCCCTGGGGACAGCAGGGACAGATCCCAGAGCTAAGTCCCAAGGGGTAGGACCAGGCTAGGAGGCAGCAAATCCCTCCTGCCCACCAGCCAAGCTGTGCCCATCTCTGACACAGAGCTCCAAGCCCCTTCCCTGCTCCCCAGGGTTTATCCCAGCTCCACAGCACGTTCCCAGTACCACCAGTGCCACCACAGGAGCCCACAGTGCAAACCCGCTCCTTTTTGGTGCACAAAATGCTTTTTCCATCATTTCCCCATGCATAAGGGGGTGGCTGACGCTCCCATCCAGCCCAGGGCAGCTCTGGCTCTGGGACTGGAGGATGAAGATGCTGCTCACTGCTTGTCCCACAGGTTACGAGGAGGTGATCCAGATCCCCAAGGGCTCCGTGCACATCGACATCCGGGAGCTGAACCTCTCCATCAACTACCTGGGTGAGCTGGGGCTGGGGTGCTGGAACCCAGCCAGGCCCTGCCATTCCCTGCCATGAACAGGCTCTGGGCAAGGCCTGGCAAGGAGAACTTCCCACTGCAGCTGGGAATGGGGATGTGGGGCAGGGGAAGTGTGGGCTGTGTGTCCTCCAGTGTCCCTGTCCTCTGTTAGCATCACAACCCTGAGCAAACCCCACGTCCCTCAGCTCCTGGCACTGCCTGTGGCTCCCTGGCATCCCCCCTCTGCCATCCTGGGGATTAAAAATGCTCATGTTTTCCTCAGGCTTGGTTTTCCAGCTTTGCTCGGTCCTGCTTTCACAATAAGGATTTTCTTTCCCCTTTTATCCTCCCTGTCCTCTGAGCCATGCAGGGCAGGGTGCTCTCCCTGGATGCTGCTGGGTGCCAGCAGGATTCTCCTGGCAGCATCCCTCCCCTGGCACCAGAGGTGCCTCCATCCCTCCCTGCCCGGGGCGTGGGGACTCCTTTCAGGATTTCTGCTGCCTGCAGGCTCTGCCACTTTGGGATCCCTGCGGGCATCCCAGATGGAGGGAGAATCCCCTGTGTGATTTATTAAAAAAAATATGGCTATTGATCTAGTACCTGATGTTCCCTCTACCCTCAGCCCCTGAATTATCAGGCTAGCCCAGAGACCCGAGGCTTTGAGGGGAGGAATATCAGGAGATGGCAAAGATTTCCAAAAGAGGTTTTTACCCCAATATATGATGGTGCAGCTCTCTTTATTCTGTGATGTCCATGGGGAGAGCGGGGCAAAGAGGAACAGGAAATGTCAGGGGTCTATATAGATTTTGGGCAGGGTGGGCTTCTCTGGCTCTCTGCCAGCCCTGTCAGGGCAGGGAGGAGGGTCCAGGGTTATCTGATCAGAGTCACAGGGTCCCGGGGAAGGGGCACAGAGTGCCCATGAGCACAGTGTAACAGTACCAATATCCAACTGTGATGGACAACAACTCTCTAATAGTTTAAAGTTAGAAAGTGTGTGTTTATTGTGTTTATTGTGTGTGGGATCGCTCCCAAACCCACACCGCAGTTTCCAGGTGATTACAGAGCCCTTTTATCCATACAAGTATTGAGTACCCAAAATACAAATACATATTCATCATTTTGGTACATCCCATTCCTCGCTTTGTATGCTAATCACTCCAAAAGCCATTCAGCACGTGTGGTGTGTTCCTTGAAATGGGTCGGTGTCCCTTTCATGGGGAGGGGTCCCAAAATGAGGAAGTAAATGAAGTCTTCTTCGTTCTGACCTTTCTACCTTTTCAATGCAAATATGACAAATGAACTCTTGGTAGAACTCCCATTCCTTGTCTTCAATTGGTGTCAGAACAGAGGAGCCCCACAATTGTCTTATGTCCCTAAAAGCTCTTTGTCAGTTTGTGTATTCTTCATTATCAACCCAGCTAACTAAACCTTGTGCTGACAAGCCATCAACTATTAGTTAACTACTAACTCTTAACTTCATCAAGGCCTACTCATTTATTCTAATTAACTCTAGTAAGGCTAAAATCTTAGCTCCTCTAAAATCTCTAAATTCCCTCAAACTGACGTTTCGCGTGTCCCGGCGCGGTGGGGCGGGCAGGGCAGCGGTGCCCGGAGCCGCTCCCGGAGTGAGCGCTCGGATCCCCCTCTAGCGACTCTCCCGGGCAAGCACAGCCCGGCCCCGGGCCCCGGCAGCCCCAGCAGCCCCGAGCCAGCGTGCACAGCCGTGTTTGAGCCCGGCTTTGCGGCCACAGCTGGCCCCCAGCCCAGGGAGGAGCTGGGCAGGCTGAGCCCGCAGTGGCTCCATCGCTGCCACCCTGCTGGTGGCTCTGTGCCCACCTTGGTGCCACCTCCCCTCTGTCCTTGCAATGCTCTGAGCCCGGCAGGGCAGCAGCACCTGGCTGAAGTTGGCCCAGGTGCCTCGAGGCTCTGTGCTGAGCTCCCTCCCCTGTGGTGGCAGCGCTGCGAGGGGACAGCGGGGAATATTTCATCAACGGGAAGCTCTCCATCGATCCCCCCCGGCGCTTCGACATCGCCGGCACCACCTTCCACTACAGGAGGTCTCCTGAGGAGCCCGAGTCGCTGGAGGCTTTGGGACCCACCAACATCACCCTCTTTGTCATGGTTGGTAACTCTGTGCCCCTCCCGGTGTGGTCCTAGTTGGGCTAGAAGGATCTTGGAGTGGTACCTGGGGACTGGCGCTGATCAGCCCCTGCTGTGGCTGTTGGGAGTAGAGGGACACAGAGAGCAGAGGTGAATTGGGCTGAATTCACACAATAAATCCCAGAACTGATCAGCTTGGAAAAGCCCTTTGAGACCATCGAGTCCAAGCTGTGACCTGACACCGCCTGGTCAGCCAGACCACGGCACCGAGTGCCACATCCAGCCTTGGGAGAGTCACCCCAGGTGGGACAGGAGCCCACAGTCCCTGCCTTAGGGGGCCACTGCTGTATCCACTGGGCACTCTCAGATCTCCCTCCCTAATTCTCAGGTCTCCTGCCCTAATCTGTCAGGTTTTGGGATGACTCCACCCTTAAGTGCCTGGGAGCTCATTCTCTGATCCAGCACCACTGGTGGCTGCCCTGGCAGTACTGGGAGGGGCTGGAAGGGGACAGGGGACAATTCCAGCTGCCCTGGCTGTTAGAGGGGCCGTGGGATGCCACCTGGCTGGTCACCGTGGTGGCACTGATGTCCTGGGGGTGCCTTTCCTGCAGGTGCTGGTGCGGACGGAGCCGCAGGGGATCCGCTACAAGTTCAACGCTCCCGTGGGCAGAGATGGCTCCAGCCTGTACTCCTGGCACTACACCCCATGGACCAAGTGCTCCGTGCTGTGTGCAGGGGGTGAGCTCTGGTGCTGGGCTGCTTCGGGGGGACATGTGGGACCCCTCCCTGTGCTGTGTCTGGGTCTCTGCTTGGCTCTGAGGAGCTCTGGGGTCTCTACACAGCCCCACCCTGCACTCAGCCAGCTGAGAGTTGTATCAGGCAGTGCCAGGGCAAAGAACCTGGGTGCCATCTTCAGCTGGGCCACAGGTATGGGCGGAAGGGACCTTAAAGATCAAATTTTTCCACTCCCTGCCGTGGCAGGGACACCTCCCACTGTCCCAGGCTTATTAAAAGGCCTCAATGGATCCACCTTGGGCAGCACAACCCAAAATGGCTACAAAAATGGACAACTGGTCATGGGATCTCTCACTTTTAAATGTTCTGCTCCATTTACATATTGGAGTTCATTGTCCAATTACAGCTTTAGGTTATGAAGTCCCATCCTCATTTTTCTCTCTTCATTCCACATTGTTTGTGCTCTTGGGCCGAGATTTGGATCATTTGTCCTTGGTCCCCAGCTGGAGAAGGAATTGTTTTGTCTCCCTGCTCTGTGCAGAGAGTTCACCATCCCCTCATGCAGCCCAGACCCACACACTAAAGCAGCACAGAAGCTGAGAAATAGAAAAGCTCAAAGCTGAGGCATCACAGCCTCCTCCTCCCTTTCCCCCTTCCCTCTTCTCCCTGGGCAGGCAGCCAGATCCAGTCCGTGGTGTGCAGGAAACTCTCTGATGGCTCAACTGTCCCCAACCATTTCTGCAGCGCTGACACCAAAGTCCCCGAGCGCCAGAGGAGCTGCAACACCGAGCCCTGTCCCCCGGCGTGAGTACCGTGTGCGAAAGGAACTCGTAGAGAATTTTTAAAATTTAACAGAAAGTTTCTGTCACTTGTATTTGTATTTGTACATAAACTTTGAGATAAGAAATGTTGATTTAGGAGATCAACGTTTCTTTGGAGAAATAGAACAAAGAAAGATAAACCTACAAAGAGTAATTTTAGATAATAATAATTTTAGTAATTTTAGATAATAATAGCTTTAGATCATTTTAGATAATAATATTAGGATATTATTATTAGGATATTAGGATAATATTATAATATTATAGTATTATAGTATTATAGTATTCATATTAGTATTATAGTATTAATATTATAGTATTAATATTATAGTATTATATAATATTATCAATAATATTAAAAATTTTAGATAAGAATGTATTTAAAGCATTTACAACATAGTGTAGCAAAAACTGATAACCCAAGAAACTTATATTATAACATATTATAATTAATAAATAGTTAACTACTAATTATAATAGTGTAAATTATAACATCTGTATTGTCTCACCCTTAACATGAGACTAAAAATAGGGAAAAATTAAATATTTTAAATTAAATAAATTTAATTTAAAATTACTTTTTATTTAATTTTAAATTAAATTTTTAAATCTATGTTTTTGAAATGCCTCTCAGTTATCCCATCTCTAAGTCAATAAAATACTTAATCCAACATGCAGGGAGCCAAGGGGGAAAACCAGGGTGGCAGAGAGTGAAATTCCCCCCTGGCTGCCATTCCCAAGCCGCAGCCCCACTGGTGACACTGCAGCTCTGCTGGGGAATGGGGTGGGGGAGTTTCTCCTCTGTGTCCCAGGATCTCAGTGAGTCCCTCAGGAATTGTGCCAGCCACTCCCTGGCTCCCCTCCTGAAGGGGAAGGGCAGATGGGCAGTGGCTCAGGCAGAGCTGCTGCCAGGCTGGGCCTGGAGAAGGTCCTGGGCTGTGGGACCAGCCCGGCCCATCCCATCCCATCCCATCCCATCCCATCCCATCCCATCCCATCCCATCCCATCCCATCCCATCCCATCCCATCCCATCCCATCCCATCCCATCCCATCCCATCCCATCCCATCCCATCCCAGCCCAGCCCAGCCCAGCCCAGCCCAGCCCAGCCCAGCCCATCCCATCCCATCCCATCCCATCCCATCCCATCCCATCCCAGCCCAGCCCAGCCCAGCCCAGCCCAGCCCATCCCAGCCCATCCCAGCCCATCCCAGCCCAGCCCAGCCCATCCCATCCCAGCCCAGCCCAGCCCAGCCCAGCCCAGCCCATCCCAGCCCAGCCCAGCCCAGCCCAGCCCAGCCCATCCCATCCCATCCCAGCCCAGCCCAGCCCAGCCCAGCCCAGCCCAGCCCAGCCCAGCCCAGCCCAGCTCTGCTGTTGCCCCTCTCCAGTTGGGCCATCGGGAACTGGTCCGAGTGCAGCCGGAGCTGCAACGAGGGCGTCCGGACCCGCAGCGTCTTCTGCAAGAGGAAGATCTCTGCCAGCGAGGAGAAAACCCTGGATGACGCCTCCTGCACTCAGCCACGGCCAAAGATGCTGGAGCCCTGCAACAACCAAACGTGTCCTCCCGAGTGGGTGGCCCTGGACTGGTCGGAGGCGAGTGCCAAAGGAGGGACACGGAGCTGGGGAAGGCCTGAGGAGCGGCTGAGGGCACTTGGCTGGTTCAGCTGGAGCACAGGAGATGAGGGGAGGCTCCTCGGGGGCTGCAGCTCCTCCCGAGGGGAGGCAGAGGGGCAGGGGCTGAGCTCTGCTCTGGGACAGCTCCTGGAGCCCAGCAAGGGCTGGAGCTGTGCCAGGCCTTGGCACGGAGCTCAGGGAAAGGTTCTTCCCCCCGAGGGTGCTGGCACTGCCCAGGCTCCCCAGGGAATGGTCCCGGCCCCGAGGCTGCCAGAGCTGCAGGAGCGTTTGGACAGCGCTCTCAGGGCTGCTCGGGGTGGGGCTGTTGGGGGGTCTGTGAGGGGACAGTCCCAGGGTGGCGTTGTTGGGGTGTCTGTGCAGGGCCAGGGGCTGCACTGATGATCCCTGAGGATCCAACTCAGGATATTCTGTGATTCTGTGGTTGAGACCGTCCCTCCCCTCTCTGAGGGCGCTGCTCCCTAGGAGCACAGTGCCAATCACCAGTGACAGCCACGGAGAGCTCAGTGTGGGAATGTGGCAGCTCAGGAGCCAGGAAATTTGGGAGCAGCAGGGGTGGGGAGCCAGAGCTGCCTCTGTCCCCTCCCTGACCGTGTCCCCTGTCCCTGCAGTGCACCCCGAGCTGCGGGCCCGGCTTCCGCCACCGCATCGTCCTGTGCAAGAGCGGCGACCACAGCGTGACCCTGCCCACCTCGCAGTGCCACGAGGCCACCAAGCCCCCCACCAGCATGAGGTGCAACCTGCGGCGCTGCCCCCCGCCCCGCTGGGTCACCGGCGAGTGGGGAGAGGTAGGGACAGCCCTCCCCATGGGGGAATTGCAGCAGGAGCCTCCCCAGCCCTTCAAATCCTGACCTTTATGGGCCAGCAGAAGCCTGGCTGGACACCACAACTATCCAGGGACGCGTGGCAGGGTTCTTTGCCCCCTTTTTGGCTCGTTTGTGATGGTGCCCCAAGGGCAGAACTGACCCTGGGGGTGTGCCACAGGGGTCGTGGAAGGGTCCCCATGGTGGCTGGGGGTCAGCAGGGCAGTGGCTGCAGAGGTGGGCTGGCCCTCCTGCCAAGCAGGGCCAGACTGATCCCCCCAGAGCCCAGTGGGGTGACCCTGCCAGTCCTCCCTGCCCTGAGCACCCCTCGAGCTGCAGGGGGGTGCAGGAGGCCTGGGAAAGGCCGGTGATTTAGGGCTGGATGTGGGATCCTCCTGGAGAATCAAACCAAGCATTTTTCGGGATGCAGGGCCACAGCGCTCGCTCATGCCTGGGAGGGAAGGGACAGCCCCCTCCAGCACCCTTTGCACCCCCTGTCCCCCGCCCATGCCCGCTGCTGTCACATTCCCAGAGCCGTGGTGGCTGTGGCAGCTCCACCGTGCTGTCCCCACAGTGCTCTGCCCAGTGCGGCCTCGGGCAGCAGAGGAGATCCGTGCAGTGCCTGGCGCACACCGGGCAGCCGGCCATGGACTGCGTGGAGGCCCTGCAGCCCCCAGGGATGCAGCAGTGCGAGAGCAAGTGCGAGTCGGGGCCCACGGACAACCCCGAAGGTGAGGGGGCTCTGCAGAGGGGACACGTGTCCCACTGGGGACAGGGACACGGGAGCCAGCGCAGCGCCAGCTGGGCTCAAGGGTGGGGAGATCCCATCCCTGGAAGGGTCCACGTTGGACAATGGGTTTGGAGCAGCCTGGGATAGTGGGAGGTGTCCCTGCTCATGGCAGGGGGTGGGAAAATTTGATCTTTAAGGTCCCTTCCACCCATACCTGTGGCCCAGCTGAAGATGGCACCTGGATTCTTTGCCCTGGCACTGCCTGACACAACTCTCACCTGGCTGAGTGCAGGGTGGGGCTGTGTAGAGGCCCCAGAGCTCCTCAGTGACAAGCAGAGACCCAGACACAGCATGGGGGGGTCCCACATGTCCCCCTGAAGCAGCCCAGCGTCAGAGCTCACCCCCTGCATGGAGTACTTGGTCCACAGGGTGTAGTGCCAGGAGTGCAAGAGAGGTCTCTGCAGAGGGGACATGTGTCCCACTGGGGACAGGGACATGGCAGCTAGAGTTGGGCTCCAGGGTGGGAGACCCCATCCCTGGAAGTGTCCAAGGCTGGGTTGGACACTGGGGTTTGGAGCAACCTGGGATGGTGGGAGGTGTCCCTGCCCGTATCAGGGTGGCACTGGATGGCTTTAAGGTCCCTTCCAACCCAAACCATTCTGTTGAAATGTGGCCATTCTGTGGCTCTGGTCCCCTCTGGTCCTGGGCCAACCTGGTGTGCCATGACCCCGAGAAATGAGGGAACTCCACCTTGAGAAATGCAGGAACTGCACCCTGGCAAAACCAGGTTTCCATCAGTGATGTCCTCAGCAGCTTCTTCACCACGGCTGCACTTTGCAGCTCCCTGACAAACCCCCCCAGGACCTCCTCAGCCTGGCTGTGACCCTGCTCCCCGCTCTGTGTCCCCTGCAGAGTGCAAGGATGTGAACAAGGTGGCCTACTGCCCGCTGGTCCTCAAGTTCAAGTTCTGCAGCCGGACCTACTTCCGACAGATGTGCTGTAAAACCTGCCAGGGCCACTAGGACACAGCGGGACCCAGCGGGAGCCCCGTGGCAAAACTGGAAGGCCAGAGCTTCACTGGAGGGCTGCCGAGCCCTGCCCTCCCTGGGAACCTGCCCTGGCTCCCACGCTGACTCCGGTCACGCTTCCACGGGCGTCACCCCAACCCGTCCCCACAGCCCCCTCGGCCCCCGAGCTTCACCGAGGCAGGTTCCCAGTTAAACCACTGCAGCCCCAGCTGGATGAGCGCTGGGAGAGGGGGGAGCTGGGCAGAGCAGGGACTTTACTTGAAATTCTGATGTTGTTATTTATTAGTAGCGGAGCCAGGTCCTGCTGGGGGAAGCGGCACCGCTCGCCCCTCGCTCCTGCCTCATCCTGCTCCGTGCCCCCAGGGCACCATCGCGGGGTTTGGGCACTCCCGGGGCTGCTGCCCTTCCCTCGGGACCCCAGGGGAGCCAGGGAGGAGGGTTCAGGTGCCTCGGGTGACCAGCGTGGCTCGTGGCTCCTGGGTGATGGATGGAGAGGAGCCACGGGGGGAGTGGGGCTGGATTTTGTCTCCTTGGGTTGCACCTCGGGGCTGGGATCAGGTCACCCCTGAGCAGGGGGTGACACCAACCTCCTGTAGCCACCAGCTTGGATTGGGCTGTTCCCCTGTTTGCCCTTGTCACTTTTAGGACCAGTTTTTACCCCTTGAAGCACGAGCTGAGCTGGGGGCAGAGGGGTGCAGTCACTTCGTGGGCATCGAGGCTGTGCCAGGCTCAGGGAGAGCAGCACAGGAGGGTGCAGGACAAGAATGGGCCTGGCACAGTGTCCCCAGGGCCTGGCACAGTGTCCCCAGGCCTGGCACAGCAGGACACTGCCCAGAGACAGCCTCAGCCTCACTTCCAAAGGTGCTTGACTTCCAAAGGTGCTTTTCCTCCGAAAGGTGCTTTGCCTCCAAAGGCAGCCTGGCCACGTGTGGCTGTGGCCTCAAGGTGCCAGCCCCAGTGCCACCCACTCCTCTGCCCACAGGAGGCCTCCAGTGATGGGAAAAGAACATTGACATTCCTCCAGGTCACCTCATGGCCAAACCTGGGCCAATTCCTCCACGGCAGCCTGTGGAGGAGACCTGACTTCAACTCTCCAAAGTGCTTTTTGTTGGCATTGTAATTGTTATTATTATGATCCTTTTCAGGCCTTTCCACATCACAGCGATGGGAAACCTTTGTCCAAAGCCGTGTTTTGTTCCCTTGGGGCCATCCCTGTGGTGCAGGGAGGGGACAGACCCTTCCCCCAGAGCAAAGCCCCCGTGTGTTCCTCTCCCAGCTCCATTTGTGTGTCCACCTGCTCCTCGGCCGATCGCAGCTTCTCTGGTGCTCAGCAAACCTCGTTTCTCTTCCTTCCTGGTGCCATGCTCAGTTCTGATGTTTTTTGGGTGAGGGGAGGGGGTGTTTTCACCATTTTTATATCGATATATATCCTACTGACCAATGTTTAACATACTAACTCTGAGGAGGAGCGACGTAAGGCATGAATTATAATAAAGGAGTAGCTACGATCCCGGGCACAGCCTCTGCTCCCACTTGTGTTCCTCCAGCTGGGGCTGGGTTTGGGCACCCACAGCACCACAGTTCACCCCAAGGGAGGGGTTTGGAAGCAGGGGAGGGTTTTCCCTGCGAAGCAGAGCAGGCTGGAGAGGTGGGATTCACCCAGAGCTGCTTTAGGATGTGGAGGAACAATTTCCCCCATGGCACAGAGACCCCATCCCGTGTTGGGTGGGGATTCTGCCCCTCTGCCCCCTCAGGTGAGACCCCACCTGCAGAGCTGCCCCAGCCTGGGGAACAGCAGCAGGAGGACATGGAGCTGCTGGAGCCAGGCCAGAGCAGCCACGGAGATGCTGCAAGGGCTGGAGCCCCTCTGCTCTGGAGCCAGGCTGGGAGAGCTGGGGGTGCTCCCCTGGAGAGGAGAAGCTCCAGGGAGAGCTCAGAGCCCCTGGCAGGGCCTGAAGGGGCTCCAGGAGAGCTGGAGAGGGACTGGGGACAAGGCCTGGAGGGACAGGACACAGGGAATGGCTCCCACTGCCAGAGGGCAGGGCTGGGTGGGAGATTGGGCAGGAATTGTTCCCTGGCAGGGTGGGCAGGTCCTGGCACAGGGTGCCCACCCTGGATCCCTGGCAGTGCCCAAGGCCAGGCTGGATGGAGCTGGAGCAGCCTGGGACAGTGGGAGGTGTCCCTGCCATGGCAGGGGTGGCACTGGATTAAATTTAAGGTCCCTTTTAACCCAAATCATTCTGTATCTCTGCAGAGGACAGGGTGGCCTCAGTTCCTGCAGTAACCCCACTTTTCTCTGCACCTCAGGCAGGGAGTGGGGAAAAAAGCCCAAAAAACAACAGCAACAAAAAAACAACCAAAAGCATCTCGTTGCTAAAACCACCTCCAAGCACTGACTGACCAGCACTGGGCAGGTGACATCCAGCTGTCACTGCAGGGTGACAGGTCCCCGAGGCTCTGAGCATCCCTGCTGGGCTCTGTCCTGCATCCTGTCCCTCAGCCAGCAGCAGCAGAGGTGGGGACACCCCGGGCAGGGCCACCCCAAGTCCCTGGTAGCAAAGCTGTCGTTGTCCTCCCCACCCCCACAAAGGGTTCAAAATGAGGAAGTGGGAGGGAAAGAAAATTCGTCACAATCGTTGTTACAGCAGAAAGATAAAATCCGAGTGCTCCGGGATGGCCCCGGGCCGCCGGTGACAGGAGCCCGAGCACCTGGCCTGGCAAGGGACACAGGGACATCATGGTGAGTGCCAGCAGGGCCCCACCCTGCTCCCCTCCAGCCCCCCGGGGTGTCACCTCCTCCTGCTGCCACCTCAGGGCCACCTCAGCCCTGCCCTCCCCGCTGCCAGCCTGGCCCCGAGCTGCCCTGTGTCCCTGCTGCAGAGGGGACAATGTCCCCAGCTTGGGGACAGGCCTGGGGGAGGGTGCAGAGGGGTGGTGACCCCCAGGACAGGGTGGGGAGCACCAGGGGATGGGTCTGTGCTGACACAGAGGGGCTTGGGTGTGCTGTCACTGCCGTCACTGCTGTCACTGCTGTCACTGTGGTACCCACAGCACAAATTGTCCCCACTGGTGGTGCTGTGGGGCAGAGAGTGGGCTGGGGGTGGCAGCCACATGGCCCAGGCCAGGAGGGACCCTCTGGGTGCTGGTCCCCGTGGTCAGACCGTGCTGCCCTCCCTGCAGCCCCTCCTGGAGGTTGGTGTGGAGGCAGAAGAGGAAGGTGAAAGCTCTCAAAATTGGGAAGATGCTCAGACATGGGCGAAGGGGCTGGCACAGCTCTTGGGGTGATGCTGTCCCCAGCTATTTCCACCCAGACAGGAAGGGGACAGTGGCCAGGCTGAAACTGAACCTTCTGCCACCCACACTTGTGGCTGTCACCTCCGAGAAGCTGCTCAGATGCTGTCCCCAAGGACACTTGCACTGTCCCCTCCTCCACCACCTGAAGCTGTTCCGTGGCTTCGTGGAGGACCAAAGGCAGCCATGCCCTGACTCCTGCCAGCCCCAGCCCTGCCTGTGTCTGCTGTGACAGTGCTGTGACAAATCTGCTGCAATATTGGTGCTTTCAGTGCTTTTGGAGCTGCTGATGCTTCTGGGCTTGGCCTGTCTCGTCTCAAAAGGTGCCACCTTGGGCTGCATCCGCTCCTTGCTCGGGGCTGCAGCTTCTTTTGTGGTTTAGACCACAGCTTTGAACAAAACAAAATACAGTTTTCAAAGTGCTGCCACAGGGCTGCTCCCCTTCCTGCCCAGAGATCCTATCTGAGTGCCAGGAGCATCCTGGCCCCGGGCACAGGGGTGGCACGGTGCCCATCCCGCAGCTGGGGATGCTGAGGGGCTCCCCATGTGTCCCCTGCCCCCTTTGGAGCAAAGCCCCTCGTGCCCAGGGGCTGCAAAGGCCGCCTGGAAGGTGGAGGGGACACAAAAGCTTCTCCCTGCTTGGCATGAGGCTGCAGTGGCTTGGTGCCAGGCCCTTCCCTGGGCAGCTTTGGCCTGGGGCAGAGGAGGGACTGCACAGAGGGGACTGCACAGAGCAGGGGATGGAGAAACTGCTGCCCCAAACCTCTGGGAGCAAATTAATCTGTGCTCCCCCTCCCCACAGGGATGACACCTGCAGCCCTGTCCCATGGGAGCTCTCTGGGCACTGAGCTGGGGCAACACCAGGGTTTTAAGGGATCCTAATTCGCCTTCATCTTGACTTTACTTTGATTTTACCTCATCTTTTAGCCCTGCAAACCCCCCGTGACAGGCTCGGGGAAGCCAGGCAGGAGCACCCAGAGCTCTGCAGACAAACCCACCGTTTAGCAGCTGGGAGCTGCTGTTTTCCCCCCAGCTGGGCTGCACCAGGTGCCCCAGCAGAGGCAGGAAAGCCCCTGAGCAGGCCCAGAGGAAGAGGAGGTGAAGGCACGCTCACCACTGACAGCTCTGGGCGGCTGACAGAGAATCTCTGGGTGTCAGCCCAAAACCTCTGAGCTCTCTGAGCAGGAAATTCTCCTTTTGCCTTGATTTGGCCTCGATCAGCAGCCCAGGGTGCCTGTGGCAGCAGCTTTGGGGTGATGGGGACAGGGCACTGAGGTGTTTGGCTGCCCCTGGACTCTTCCCACCCTTCCCCCACTGAAGCCCAGGGTTTGGGCCGGGTTGGGTGAAGCTGGGCAGGTCCTGGGGACCCTGGCAGCTCCCTGGGTGACACCACAGTGACCTGGAGAGGACAGCTGAGCCTGCTGGGATTTTCCAGCTGGATTTCCTAGGGGATATTAGGATGAAAGCAAGAAAAAGGCCGAGAAGGAAGAGGAGAAGCTCTCTGGGTGATTTCAGGCTGCGTGAGCAGCCCTGGATGCCCTGAGCCCCCTGAGCTGACCCCAAAAAAAGGTGCTGGGACAACACCAAAAAGCCCCTTCAGCAGCTACGTGGGCTTGACTGGAATTTGGGGTTTGGAGAGGGGATGTTTGGGGTTGCAGAGCCCAGGGAGGAGAGAGGCAGGCAGGTGATGGAGGCAGGTTGTGACAGACACCCCAGGGGGACTGTGGGTGACAATCAGAGGCTGCCAGGAGCCTGCAGGGAAATCGAGTAAAAAGGGGAAGAGGAGAAGAAAAGGGAAATGGAAAGAGTAAGAGGCCCGGGCTGATGGGGGAGAAGTGAAATCGGTGACAGGAGCCTGGGGGGTGAAAGAGGAACCCTGGGGGTGGGGAAAGAGGAGCCTCAGAGCGGTCCCAACGGGGTGTCCCCTCCTGGGCACCACAGCTGTGCCCAGCTGGTTTGTGGGGACATCGAAGGGAGGGGACGCCTCTGGGGGGTTTCTGCACGGTGAAATCCCCCCCTGCCAGCCCAGGGCTGGGTTCAACCCCCAAAAGTACAAATCACAGCCCAGCCCTGCTGCTGGCCACAGCCCCCGGGGGACAGAGCTGGGGACAGAGGGCAGAGGCTGCTGGCATTGCTGGCATCTCCTGGGCACCAGCAAGGGGAGCAGGGGGCTGGGGCAGGTCCTGGCAGCTCCTCTGAGGGTACCAGGAGGGGAGCAGGGGGCTGGGGCAGGTCCTGTCAGCTCCTCTGCAGGTACCAGGAGGGCAGCAGGGGGCTGGGGCAGGTCCTGTCAGCTCTCTGCCCGTACCAGGAGGGGAGCAGGGGGCTGGGACAGGTCCTGTCAGCTCTCTGCGGGTACCAGGAGGGGAGCAGGGGGCTGGGACAGGTCCTGGCAGCTCCGTGCAGGTACCAGGAGGGCAGCAGGGGTCCAGGGGTTGGGACATGCCCCCGTGTGCTGAAATCTGAGCTCTGTGAGGTCCCAGCCGGGCCAAACCCTCCCTTGGCACCGGAGGTTTGACGTGGCAGCTGAGCCGGGGACCCAGGGCCAGCTCGGGGTCAGAGGTGGCCCTGGTGGCAGGAGGTGGCCCCGGCCCAGCCGCTGTGTCCCTGTCCCCTCAGGGCAGCAAGGAGCGCTTCCACTGGCAGAGCCACAACGTCAGGCAGAGCGGCGTGGACGACATGGTGCTGCTGGCCAAGATCTCCGAGGAGGCCATCGTGGAGAACCTCAGGAAGCGTTTCATGGATGATTTCATCTTTGTATCCTCTGCAGGCAGCAGGACAGGCCCGGGGGCGGCGGGGATGGGCTCCGGGGCTTTGTCAGGGTTTGGGACAGCGTGCCAGGACACAGGGGACACTGTGCCAGGACAGAGGGGACACCATGAGAGGACAGAGGGGACACTGTGTCAGGACACAGGGGACACCGTGCCAGGACACAGGGGACACTGTGCCAGGACACAGGGGACACAGAGCTGCTCCGGCAGAGCTGGCACTGCCGGGCACCACAGCCCTGCAGGAGGACAGGGACGTGTCCCTGAGCCCTTCTCACACCCCACACCCGCCTGGGGACGTGGCCAGCTCGGTGTCCTGCTCCCCGGGCGGGGGTGGCTGTCCCTGCTGGGGACAAGGAGCAGAGCCCGAGGGGCACAGCAGGGCACGGGGGGCTCGGGGGTGGCAGCGGGGCTGAGGCTGCTGCCCACGGCACTGCCTTTGCCCTGGACGTGGG